GGTGCAAATGGGCTTGACAAGGTTTGCCGTCTCCGTTCCAGTAGGTACGAGGCAGAGTTGCAACAACTGCAAGATGCCTTTAGGGCATCTGCAGAAGGCGATGTCGTATGCTTGAGGGAGTGTCTGACACAATACAAGGAAGAAAAAGACAGGCTACTGTGCCAAAAGAAGCTCCTCCTCAATCAGGCATGGTCGTCACGCAATCATTTCTATGCATCAAAAATGCCTGCATCACATTGCTGACAGCAGCATGGCAAGCGACGTAGTCCTGTGGGCCCCGCACAATTCAGTTGCAACACACAGGATATTTGCGCCCGCGGCTCCTAGCCTCGTTTCACGCTGACATTGATCACATCTTTGCTTCTGGAAGGTGCTCAAGCTGGAATTCAAATTGGAGGAGGAATGCCAAACACGTGCAGATTTGGATAGGAAGCTCTTGGCAACCCGCTCCGCTTTTCAGCAGGCTCTCGAAGGGACGCCCAAGCGGTGCCAAGACTTGGGTGTGAATACAGCCGCGCCCTGTTGCACCAAGGAAAACTGCAGTCTCAGGGCGAACATGAAGTCGGTCTTCTCGCATCCCAGCAATGTCGCGCAGGATGCTGTTGCATTTGACCGTGACAGCTGGGCAGACGCACCAACCGTCGAGGTGCGCCAGAGAAGGTGTTCTGCTCTAAAGTGCTGACCGCAGGCACTGAATTCAATGTGACATTCTTGAACGCGCACCAAAGCTGAGGATTGTGTGCCACTTACGCAGTCCCTGGTGCCCAGGATCGTTCGGCTGTGGGCGGAGCTCAAAGTACCGCTCATTCGACGTTCACGGGTATTTATGACCTTTCGCGGCAGGGAAATCTTCTATTACGAGGCAAGTGCAATCAAAGTGACGGATACATAGTGAGCATAGTGATCATTACTGTTTGCGGCGCCAGGACGCAGACACACACAGTTTTGCCATTGCACGAGTTCCGCCAGACATGCGAGGTGATAGCCATTTTGCGCCAGTCGTTGCTACAAACAATAATGACAATCGCACACCAGTCCTTGTCAGACAGTTGCCGTAATACACATCCCAGGCACTGGATCAGGAACAAGTGTTTGAGTGTTGGAAGCACAACGAAGTGTGCGCGCTAATAATAAATACGTTGCTTCCATATTGAAGGCTGAGCACAGGCGACTGATGTGGGAAAAGAGCCAACTGACTGGCGCCAGCGGTGATGATAGTGGTGAGGAGGGGCCTGAAACATCAGGGGCCAAAGGGAGGCACAAGAAATTAGACAGGCAAACTCGACGGTTGGAGGTGCGGACTGAGAGCATGAAAATTACATCACGGAAAGCGCACATGCCATGCCTCCATCTCCCATGTCACCTCCTCTGCTAGTGCTGTGCAGCCGTACTATGAAGACCATGACCCCATCAGCCATTGCCAAGCTGACGCTCTGTTTCCTTGCAGCCATTCTTGACCAACAAGATGTCAAACGCACAGATGACGTCACACTTTTCCTGCAGGCAGAACGCAAGTGGTTGGCCCAGCAGCTGAAATGGGAAGTACCGGAAGCAGAGCGTGCCAAATTGTTTCGCGAGTGGGGGATTCCGCACAACGCAAAGGAGAGGAAAATGAAGCTCATGAGAAAGCTGTGGGATTTGGAGACTGCGAGGTTTGTATCGATGCATGCAGCTGGTTTGTTTGCTGGGGCCTTCCTTTCTTCCATCCTGCTCAGCCATAACAGGGAGCACACATACTAACTGCGGACATGTCATGACATGCAGACAACCTGGAGGGATGCAAAAGAGCGCTCAGCTGGTGTTGAGACTACACGGCGGCAATGATACTCTTGGAGATGCATTGGATCTTGTCTTTCGAGGAGAAGGTACCAGTTTGACACCCACGGGTGCTGCTGTTCCGCGTGTTGTGATGCCCCAGCAGAATGCAATTCATACTGCACTGGCCCTCACCAGTGTGTGACACCACAAGCGAACCATCCAATGGGGCCCTAAAGACATACGTGCATCTGCGCGTGGAATTGCTGCAAAAGAAATTGGGTTGACTGATGGTGTGCCCTTACCTGCCGATATTCAGAACCACACGAAGCCCCAATGCCTGGTAGTGGCCTTATCCGCCGTCTGTCTCGCCGACTCTCTCGGAGCTCCTCCGTGCAAGGTCCCCCCTCATCAACATCAAGCAGCCGGCGGGACAGTGGCAGTTTGTGGGGCATCCTGCCCATGAGGCGGCAGGCGTCCCTGACATCAAATAAGGGAGAAGAAGGGCCCAAGCAATAAGGGGCAAGCCTCTGATGTAGTGCGCTGCTCGTGTACATAAGCTGCCCTCATGGGGGCAGGGACCACTCGAAGCAGGTTGTGAGAGCATCATATGGTCGGATATGGCAGCAAGAAGGATCACCACATCCGGCCTGAAAATTGTCTTGCTGGCACTATTCTGCATCCCTTGGAAAATGCTCGCTCATTGTAAGCATTGGAAGGCGCTTCGCCAGTGCTGCTTAAGTTGACTATTGCGGATGTGGTGAGGCCACTGGGAACAGCGTTTGTGAGGGCTGTGCTATTGTATAGCTTGGTTGTGATTTTGATGCTTTTCTATAGGCCAGGAAGGGCATTTCGCTTGACACAACGTGTGTGCCTAGTTGCACATCTGTCCAGTCACTCAAAATCCGAACTCCAGCACAGAGGGGTTGAAGTCAGACATTGTGCCAAAAACCCTCAATCAAATAACATTCCATTTTACACTCACAAATTGACCTACACATGTCACACCTTTCAAGGTCATCAATCTGTTGACCACCGTTCAAACAGACTGGAAAGCGGGATCTAGCATCGACTCTACAACGCGGTGAGCAAACGATGTTTTTGATAGATGGGACTGACAGTGCACGTGACATCCTACATATGTAGAAACAGGCTGAAAAATACATCCGAAACCCTATCTTCGCCAATCAGGAGCATCTGCACCTTCGTCGAATTCCTGAAACATGACATCCATGTCTATGATCTTGTCATATTTCCCCTTTCGGCGCTCTTCAAAGTCTTCATAGCCTTCCGTCTCTCTAAGTTGCTCTGTAGTCACCGGGTTGTCATGCAAATTGAGCGTGCGTAGGCATGTGCAACACCGAAGGAGTGAAGCTGGTACTGTAGATATTCTGCCAGTGAAATTGCCAGTGGAATATGTCACAATTGGAGTGCCCAGCAGCAGACTTTTCCACATACAAAAAGCAAGCGCAACTCATCGGTGGATAATCTGTGTACTACAAGTACATTATTTCATGCCTGACTGTTTTGGGGGCGTTTGTCAGCTGTCACAATTCTTTACACAAGTATATGAGGTGTCCAAATTGGACCTCAACAGAACTCTAGGAATGAACAAAGAAGCACAGCCATGGAAGAAACACAGAATTCAGTGAGGGTGATCGGATGTCCTTCTGGATTCCCCTGAATTATGGCTACTGGTGTCACTCCATGAACAACAAAACTGTAGGGTGTTACAAGTTGTCACAACCCTGATCTGCTTGAAGGGGTGATAAATATCAAACTTCAGAAATCCAAAGAATGTGCTTGAAGCTTGCGCAAAGGCACCAGCAAATGTAAAACACAGCAAACACAAAAGTTAAAAACACAGCAAATGTAATAATTGCTCAGGTAACAAGAGGTGCATAAAGGACCTAGATTGCCATGAACGCTGGGCCAGAAACACATATAGCAGCCTTGCATTAGTCTTCAGCGCCCAATCTCACAATCAACGCGTAACCCAACAGTGGACATCACCACAAGAACACATGGCAGCCACAGTTGTTGGGCATCCAAGCCTTGGGCAAGCAAGTTTGGTCCATTTAACAAAAACTTTGTGGCAACATACCTGTTCTTGTTTGCACTCAAGCATCTTAGATTTGTCAGCTTTGACACTTCATCAGGAATTCGTTGTATCGTGTTATTGTCAAGCAGCAGATCGACAAGCTGAGCACAGTGGCCTGCACCGACAACTCGTCTTTCAGTGTCCAGCTTCAGTGCTGCAACCCCCAGTTGCCTGCACAATGAGGGCATCTGCCACACGAACAGAATATTGCACGCCTGCATACAGTCTGTTCCAAGGTTGCATTCACAGGTCATAATCACAGGCAGAAAGCGCTCCTCTACTAGCAGCCTCACGGGCATGTATAGCATGCTCTTCCTGTCGGCAGTACTTGCAATCCATTCTCATGCAATGATAACAACAATCTCAACAATTTGGCGAGCACACCCAGCAAAAGCCTGCAACGCATGCTCTGTGCCTCACCCAGTGCCTCTGGGATTCCTTGCAGTTGATTGCATTCCACATTCAGAAGTTGAAGAGATGTCAGTGTGGACACCTCGTTTGGAAGGTTGCAAAGTTGGTTTCTTGAGGCATTGAGCAGTCGCAGCCGCTGGAGGCCACCTATTCCGTCCAGCGAAGTGATGTTGTTGTCCTCAAGCTCCAGGTATGTCAATTCTTGGAGGCGGAAGAGACCTGAAAGCAGCATTTCAAGTTGTGGTACACATTGGACCATATGTCGTTGCCGTTTTCTCTCCACCCATGCCAACAGCAGTTCTCAACACAATTTCTGCCAGACATTTATCTCCTAGTGCAGTGTGTATGAAGCTGTGTCAGCACGTGGCAACCATCGAATGCAACCCCATGAGTGAAGACAGAATGTTTTCAGCATTCACTTGGTGCCTGCATGCACCTGGCCTGACCTGAGGCAAGCCCTTCCGTAGTGAGCCTGTTGTGAGACAATCGGATGGTGCAGAGCTTCGTCAGCTGAGCTATTCCGTCGCCTAGATGTGTAAGGCAGTTCCAGCACAGGTCTATCACCCTTGTATCTGACAGAGTTAGCACCTCCTCTGGAAGCTCCTCCAGCTGCTGGTCCCTCAAAGGCAGGATTTTCGTCTTCTGCCACGTTTTCAACCGCTCCTGCAGCCAGATCAACATCAAATAGACTGAACGAGTTGAGAGTGGGCACTTGGGTATTGTGAGCTTGGTATGGGAAAGCTGAACAGGACAACAAGTGCTGCAATTTTTATCTTCCATTGGCAAGCAGTACCTGCAAAGACACGGTCTTGCCTGATGCTGATGAACCTGCTCTGTTTTGCCTCTGCCTCAGAGGTGCAGCTGCCTTTCTCAGTTCTTCAGCACGTGCCTTTGCAGCTGCGGCCTTTTGCTGGGCTGCAGCTCTTGCTGCTTCTTGTCCCTGCAATGACATCCTCACGTTAGCAGATCCTACCATGTGTTTCAGTACCTCAACTGCTTCCTGCAATATCCTGGCTTCCCTGGCAACTGCACAAGTGTGCTGCCCTTCGTTCTTCATTCACAACTTGATTCCCACACTTCCATTACAGCAGAGAATGGAAAGATGAGAGGCAGTCCTGCAATACAGGTTTAAATAGGATGCAGTCATACACGCTTAAATAGGATGCAGTCAGCTTGCTCCAAGAAGTGAGAACAGATCACACAGGTGGTCCCTAGCTCCACAAAATACAAGGCATCAGATGGAATCATGCCCCAAATTCCCATGAGAAAAGCGAAAGTCATCTGATCTATAAGTTATTTAATTGCTGCACCTCCTATCCTATTGCCAGCCGAAGTGGTGTGCCAAAACTTTTGCGAGGGAGCCTTACACTGCTACAGCAACCTCAGCATTCAGCAGCGCTCCTAAATTAGGTACTTAGAGGAAACTGCCAAAATAATTGCGACCTTTGTGGGCTTACCCTGGTCTCGATGGCCGTGCTGGATATCATCAAAATTTTGGAGCCAGCCTTGACTTTGGCATCGTGTAGTCGTTGTCCAGGATCAAGGACTCGACCCTTGAATATCAGTTTCTGCTTCCTGGCTATGACACCCTGCACATGGATTGACTCTGCCATGAGTGCAAATCCAACAATGGAGGACATCCAGCTCAAAACGGATCCCGCGTGCGCCCTGGAGCCCAACCAGTCCAGATCCCAACCGTCTCAGCTTCAAGGTCCTTTTGCAGGTCGCCCACTTTGTCATCCTCGCCAACAGTTCTTTGGAATTGAGCCTTTCCAAACGAGACGGTTATCGTGAAGCCCATGAGCCCGTTGCGGCCCCCCCCGCGGTGCGCAAGTGGCACGAGCGCAAGCCACGGTGTGGGGGCGGGGGGTCGTGGCAGACAATGGCGTCAGACTCGCTGCGCAGTCTGCGGCAGCTTTTTTTTCCCCAAAAAAAAACAATCACCTGGGGGTTGCAATGATCGACGAACGGGAACCGAGTTGATATAGCATGCCCGCTGCCCAACCCAGGCAACTGGTGCTTCGCACCCGGAGCTCACCGGCATCCTTATACGGGCAGCTAGGGGCAAAACGGCGGAGGACCAGGCGCATGTCCCTTGTTCTACATAAAGAGAAACAGTCTGCGGGCAGTGCCCTGCAACGGTGCGTTGGGCGTCTGTCAAGGCAGCAGTTATGGCGACCCGGCCACAGCGCTGCGAGCCCAACATATCGGGCGAGGCCTTCATATCGCAGTTCGTGCTGTTCATCGACCGCAGAGGCCCCCAGCTGCTGTCCAGCGGGGGCGCCCTGAAACTGCAGCCCCGCTGCCTGGAGTACCTTGCGTCCCGGCTTTCCGCCCTGCTGGAGCTTTTGAAGGTGAGGGCCTCCAATCCGATCGAGTACTTCACGGGCGCCGTTGCTGACTTGGAAGACTACAAACGGCTGAAGAAGGTGCAAGATTTTCTGGAGGACACGCGTTACCTGAAGTTGCACTCCGCGGCGAGGGGTGTTCGCGACCCCACGCCCGTCATCCTGTCGCCATTCAGGTGCAGAGCGGGAGCCTGCAAAAGGCTTTGCATGTGGCGAACCGGTACTTGGCTGGGCTCCCAAAACAGCAAGTTGGCATTTCCTGTTGCGCATTCCGACATTTCATGCTCGAGTGCCCAATTGACATTCAGAGGGGTGGATTGGGTATGACGGGGTGTTTTGGAGTGACCGGTGCCTGCTTGTTTTGCTCGCCCACTGTTTTCTGCGTCTGTCCGGGGCCTGCAGATTCCACCAAGACGCTGTGGAGAATAAAAACTAGCAATTCAGCTATAAGGATCCAGTGTGCCGGATAGACAGAACAAGATGGAGTACCCCTGATTGTTGATGCTGTATGTTGGACATCCCTCACTATCAAACGAATTGTTTCAGAATATGCTGCGAAAATGGGTGACGATAACAGTTGAGTAAATAGCAGTAGTTGGGGCACACCAATCGTAAGTTCGGTGTTGCAGGGCACTGACGACCTTGGAGCTACGGGGCTGTGATTTATCTTCCCAGTGCGCCATTGGGATGAGCCAGGTGTGCGGCAGCCTGGAGAAGTTGGTGTGTCAAGACACTCTGGAAGCTTTGAGCCATGTGCTGGATCCCCCACTCTGCCAAGTCGATCAAGCACAGCACACTTCATGGCCCAAACTGAAGCAGCTGTCTTGCATGTACAACAACATCAGTGAGATGGACACATCGTTGCAACTGGCCCCCAATATTGAGCTGTTGGATCTGTCAAGGAATAACATTTCGATGGTGGCCAATTTGGAAGGGTGCGTCAGCCTCACATCCCTTGATCTTAGTCACAACAACCTGTCAAGCATCGAGTCAGCGCTGTCATCTTGCTGCAACCTACGGAGACTTATACTGAAGGGCAATGCCATTCGCTCTCTTGATGGCATTGAAGACCTGGAGCAGCTGCAGGAACTGGATGTTCGATGGAACCTGATAGGCAGTCTAAAGGCTGTGGGAAAAATAGCACAGTTGCCTGAAATTTGCAAAGTCGGCTTGGAAGGCAACCCTGTGGCAATGATGCCGTCCTACCGGATCTATGCATTGGGATGCTTTCCTGACGTGGATCGAATGGAGCTCGATGAAAAGACCACGACAGACATGGAAAGGTTCAGGGCCAAGCGTGTGGCTGTGTCTGAGCTACGGGATCAAATCATTCCCCCAGTGGATGTATCTTCCAGGAGGAGCCAATCAATGAAGTCCATTCAGAGCCTGTGGCAACTTGTCACCCCACCCTGGCTGGCCATGCGTTCCAGGCGGCCATCTTGGACGGTCAGCATTGACAGCGCAAGCTACCCAGCCTCTCCTTATGACACAGAGTCCAGGAGGACTCCACACAAGGCACGCCGGCGAGTTGTTGATATTCCTTATCCAGACGACGTTTCCAGTGTTTCGCAAAGGAGTTCTGTTGCAAGTCCTGTGGAGACTGTGCTGTTGCAGAGACAGCGTTCGACACCACACTCCTTTTTCTTCCAGTTTGAGAGGCACAGGTTGGGATGGATGCGCACAAGGTGGCGATTTAGTGAGTTGGGAGCCCAAGACTCTGATGCTGGCCTGACTGGCAGTGCAGTGAATGCTACCAACGGTGCCAGTCCATCATTAGCTGCAGCGGATCTGTAGCGACTGTCAAAGCAGGGAACCAGCTGGCTTGGCCACAATTTGATACATCAACGAGAGAAAAGTTTCATTTTGTTTCTAGATCTGTAGAGATGTGAGGCGGCTTCCGCACAGGAAGAGCATCCAGGATGGCAGAACGAGCTTCCATTGTTGAAACTTAACAGCATCAGGATCTGAACACAAGCTTTCAGGGATGATTTTGTGGTGCCTCCTTGGGTGGACGCCTGCACTGTGGCTTGGGGGGCCTGTGGGTTTCGGCTGGGCGAATGGTGCCTCTTTTGCGTCGCTGGTGCTGGCCAGTGTTCAAAACAATGGGTACAGGAAACTGATGATGGGCAGAGGTTGGTCCAGCCCACACTTCGCCCCTGCTGCTTGCTGAATGTCACTTATCACCCCAATCTAGATAGAACGTTTCCGTATGTGACTGGCGACCATGTGACTGGGGGTATTGTTTGCAGAACTGGTAATTGTCGTACCAGTTAGTCCGTTGGTACCTTGCAAAATGCAGGAAGATGATCGCTTCACAGTGTGCAGCAAGCTACAAGGATGGGGGATTTTAGGCAGCATGCTCGTCTTGGGGTTGGCTGTCCACCGGCTGGGTTATCTTTTGTAAGCATTGAGAAACCCCTGCGGGGGGGATGTTGATAGTCTCCCACCTATCTGTAGCATGACCTCAAACAACCAATTATCCTGAAAGCCTAAATTTGCAACTTCGGGAACGTCGAGACAGGAGAGCAAAAGAAAGGGGCTTAGGCCCCTTTGCTGGACGCGCATATTTTCTCGCAAGGCAACTGGGAATCTTCTCATGGTTGCAATTTGTTCTCGTTTATTGAAAAGAGCATTCCATGGACCCACACAGCTTTCAGAGGAAGCATTTGACGTACGAATGACAAGCCATTTCAAAGTCGTAGTTTTAACCTGAAAATGGATTGTGTTAATTTTCATTTGGATGTCAGGACGGCGTTGAATAGTTTCGTCTTTCCGCTCTCCTTCGTCATTTGGTCTGAGACCCACAGCTGCGGAACGGGATGTTCCCAAATGTCGCTCTGTTGGACATCACACCAGACACGGGGGCCGTACTCAAGCAGGTTGCCAGAAACGGCGAGGGGGCCAGTCGTCAGAGGAGGGGCGGCGCCCATCCGCATTCCGCAGCGCGACAAAAAGAAGAGGTCAACGCGAGACTGCGGCAGGGGAGCTTAGCACGCCTTTGCTGCCCTCGGACGGACGTGCCACGCAACATGGGCGGGTGGGTGTTTCCGGAGGTGGGTGCGGACGAAGGGGACGGCTGCCGACGTGGACGCCAAGCCGTGTCCGTTTGGGCCGCTCCGTTGCAGCGACTGATCTGCGCACGTTGGCGACGAGTGGCTCTGTCGCTGATCAACGGCGTCGCATTGCTCCCTCAATAGGTCGCACCCGGATCCGCGCCGTCGCCTCGAGGGGGACACGCTGCCACGGCACTGGACCACTCGCGGATTCTTGTCTTTGGAGGATCAGACTGCGAACCCAAACCATTTGCGGACACATGGTTGCTGGAGACAGGTGGCTGCACCGCATGGTGTCATCAATGGTTCTCGCGCCACCAAATGGGCATTGAAAACTGCGGACGCAGGCACGCATTGACTTGCCCTGTGTCGCCAAAGGGAGTTGCTCGTTTGGAGCGAGTGACCCAACGGGCAAGCGCTGCGTTTGGGCGTCGCTGGATTCCCCTGAAAAAGGGGGGTAGCAGGAAGACGCTAAACTCCATGCACACAACGATATACCTAACTTCTATCGTGCGTTGCCGTTTCCCAATGGGGGATTTAGGCTTCGCTTTGGCTGACTTCCGCTCGGAGACGTCATTTGGCGCTCTTGTGCTGCTTTCTGCGATATCAGTTCATGGCAAGGTGCACCGATGCAAGAAATACAATGAAGAGCTTAGAGCTTCTATTTAAGCGCTTTGCGCGATCCGAGGGAGCACCGTTCGCGCACCACACCGTTTTGGTCGAAAAGCTGCCAAATACTCTGGCAGTTCAAGGGCGGTTCCCAGGCAGAAGGACGACATAGCTAGGGATGCTGACAGCCGCCTGCTAGCAGGGGTGGATGCGAGTGAGCAGCAGGCGAACGTAGCTGGGTCACAGATTTGAACATATGAAACAACCAAAGCAGCAACACTGAGATTCAGTTGTGGATTTGGCAATTTCCTGGGCTATATGCTGCCATTATGTGACTGCTGCTCCAGGTGATGAGTACCGATGGCGTCATGTGAAGTCTGCAGGTGCAGAAAGGTCCGATGAACATGCATGTACTTGTTCCTCATGCTTTGACACCATCTTGATTAGGAGCAAACACGAAATAGAAGATGACACAAGGCCAGTCAATCAGCTGGTGAAGTTTAAGGCAAGATTGATGTGAAGGAAGAGTAAATTATGAATGCTGAACAGATTTTGTTTGGCTCTAAACGGATACCATATTGTTCCGCCAATACCATAGGCAAGGATATCACCAGAAACAGCCGTTCAGCGGGACATTACCTCACTCTATGTGGCAAAATTCGCCCAAAGTCGTTTGGAATGTCCAGATGGACCTGTGTGTCGCCAAAATATCCAACTGCAGTTGCTTCACGTAGGGCATGCTGCTGCTTGTTTGGGAGAGTATGTTCTAAAACATGTTTCCTTTGTGTGAATTTTGTTCCTTACATTGGTCGAGAACACATTAGCAAAACAGGCCCTTGGACCTGGAGAGGAGATGAGGGGCACAACAGCACTGGACAATGTTTCCATTGTGTGAATGATGTTTGCATTCGTCAAAACACATAATAAACAGGCCCCTGCACCAGGAGAGGTGGTGATGGGTACTCCAGCAACCAAGCAATAATTCCATTGTGTTGTTGGTAGGGAGCAACTTGTGGGGCTGTCAGGGGCGACGCTGACAACAGTAGGAGACAAAGTTTACCTTTTTGGTGGCCAGGTGATAAATGTGTTGTACCATCCACAAACATAATGTGTGCATGAATGTGACATGCTTGTCATGCATTCATCTTCAAGGTTATTGTGGGTTCCATTCGCTAGAATGTCTCAATGCCACATTCTTTTGGAATGTTGTGGAGGTTTGGGGTTTTGAGTTTGGCGTTTCTGCACAAGGCTGACAAATAGTAGTGGTTCCAGTTGTGCTTGGACACATGGAGACCAGTGACATGCAGCTTGTTTTGTTGTGTAGCTGGACTGCAAAATCTCCCTGTCTCAATACGTTATTATGCCCACACTGTACCTTTTTTGGATGCTGCTGCTGGCTAGTTTGATCAGATATCATGTAAAGTCCCATGCCTCTATTTTAAAGTCATCTTGTTCAGTATGGGATTAGTTAGCATTGATCAGTGCAGCAAACTTGAGAGCGATGAGTTGAGAGCATACTCATGAGGTGCTTGCACACGCATAATTCATCCAAGCAACCTAACAATGTAGCTGTTGTGTTCAGGAACCTCTAACAGGTCGTGTGCATGATGATGTTTGGGAGCTTGATACCGAGACCTGGCAGTGGTCACAAGTAAAGGTCAGGTGGATTCGCCAGTACCCAGTGCGGCGTGTGAAACATGGTGTGGGTTTGACTTGAGTGCACTGGGTGGAAGGCTGGACAGCCACTGAACAGCAATATTCACTGTATTACAAAGTAACACATCCTGGAGTTCAGCATCGTGGCCGTGCATTTCCTTCAATTGCTTTTTGAGGACCAAATGGGCAAGTGCGCCTGCATTCAGTGCTGACAGTGCCACTGATCAGTTAGGCGTGCGATTACTTTTGTGTCAGGTGTCGAGCAAGCCGCCTGCAAGGCATTCACACTGCGCAGGACTGCTGCACAACGACTCACTTGTGAGTTCGATTCCTGCGCACGAATCCCGAGTCCCTCAGTGCATGTCAGTTAAGTTTGCCTTTGCAGTGCTGTTCGAGTCCAAAAACGCACACACGTTTGGCAGACGTGCAATTGCATGTGTTGTGAAGCTCCTACAAACGGCTAAAACATTTTGCAAACGTGATGGCGCCTGTGCCAATCCTATTTTGTGGGGCACTTTGTATCTTGGCACGGGTATGAGAACAACCATCAACAAGGGCAAAAGCCAATGTTGTGCTTGCAAGCAACAAGGACGTCGTCTGGCGACCAGAGGAAACAATAGAAGCAGAAACAGCAGAAACACTCACACGCGAATGGATCCTTCCTTAAGCAGTACATTGGCAACGACAAGAAGGAAATGCCAGAACACATTGTGTGATGTCAAAGAAAAGCTTGGACAGCAGAAAGAACAGAAGGGGATAATGCAAAATTCCACATCCCCATGCCATAACAACCCAGCATGCAATTGCGACTCCATGTTATTGAAAGAGAAAAGGAGGAAAAAAACATTTGAGTCGTGGTAGATAGCACACTCAGCATGTTGCTTTGTTTGTTGTGCTGAAATTTCAAGTGATCAAGTGACAAGACTATGTCCTAATCTTTGTAGTCCAGCAGTTCCTTGGGTGAAGTTGCATACTCAACATTTGATTTCTGCAAGCTTCAGTTTATGGGATCTCTCCCAATCGTTCCCCTAAAAGCAATACTCCCAATGCACTGGCCATGGAGTGTGGCTTGCTGATGGTACATGAAGGGCGCTGGTCTTTATGTGAATCTTTAAAATCTGATATGCTACAACCTGCAGTTAGTGTTCGGCGGAGCAAACCAAGAGACTGCTGTACTTGGAGACGTGTGGATGTTCAGCGTTCAAGAGCACAGCTGGTATCAAGTGGATGTGAGTGGAACAACGTTTTGCCCAAGGGAAATGCACTCGGGTGTCATGGTGGATATGGACACCATGCTCATCTACGGTGGTAGAGGATTTGCCAACAGGTGTGATTGTGTGGTTTGCTTGCAGCACAGGGCGCACTGACATTACACAGGGTGCTGGATCGGGCGAGGACAAGGAGGAGCAGTGTTTGGCTATTTAACACAAAACCAGATGGTTGTGTCAGCATGCAGAGACCAATAGTTGACTTCTCTTGCCCCGTCGATTATTTGTCTCTGTGCATGTGGCCAATACTAACAAATAGCCACACAACAGTAACAACTGAGGATAAATGTGCAGTCCCCTTTTCTGCAGAAATGGGAAAAGAACAAGGAGCACCTGTCAACGCATTTGCTGTAAGGCGTTGACATATTGCCAATTCTGATTGGTTAAGTTTTTTGTCTCTACAGCATCCGATGAGCTTTGATTCTTGTATTCCTGTTTCATGTCGAGCTGCTTGGGTTGGCGTCTGTCTTTGTCCCCAACCGCTTTGGCCAGGACGTCCAAACCGCAGGTCATGTTGAATGTATTTGCTGTTTGGTGGGTTCCAGGTGCTCAGGTTTCTCCTCCCTTTGCAGAATACATTGCATTGCTGGCCAAAAAGAAGGAATGTTGCACATTGCACAGGCCATATGGCGGTGTACATGTGCGGGGAACGCTCTTCTTGTCAAAGAGCATTCCAAATCCCCATCCACCCCCCCTGAATTCGCACTACTGAAGCAGCAGTATGTTGTTTCCAGGGTGATGTGTGATGCATCGCTTCTAGATTGTAAAATGATGCAATGGAGGCTAACTGCCAACACCCCGTTTCAAAGATGTGCCCATGCAGCGGCGACGCTGGGTGCACACTCAATTCCCAGTAAGTGGTGCTATTTGACGCGCAGCTGATCGGCATATTATCACGAATGCACGGTGGCATGAATCTCCAAAGAACAGAGCATCAGTCATGAAATTTGCACCACTCGGACCCCAGGCGCTTGCCAGATGCCTTCCCCACCCGCCTGCGATGGTATCTTCCATTGTCTGCTGGACGACTCACCATGACTTGCAGTTTGTCGGCATCCCACTGGATTTTGGTGGTCGCAGGCCTTCTGGTGGGCAACTGTGTTGCTGTCGCGGGATGTTTTGGTACGTTTGAGACCGCCGCAGACCGTTGATGACAGTATTGGTGTTGGGACATTTTGTTGAACTCAATGCACCCCTGCTTTCCAAGCCCAGTGTTGTAATGGACACTCTCCCGTCGGGAGAGTGCTGCCAAGTGAACGATTTCGGCGAAACCGCCAATTAGGACGGCGGCTCGTCAGAGCAAGAGCGCGATGCACGCTCGGCGTGCATTGCCAGATTTCCAAATGAATGGACGCACGGATTTTCACTTGGCAGTTGTTGCAGATGGCGATCGGGGCAGCGGCGCATGCCCTGCTGCTTGCAGCGTTATTGTCCATGGGGGGTTCACAGGAGAGATTGTGGAAAGCGACATCATTTGCATCGATGCAGGTAAATGGCGCGGCCTGCTCTGGCAGTTGACAGATTCCTCTAGTGTAGTCTAACACCGGTTCTCTTGCTCGTCCAATTTCTGCACTTCCATTGTGGAGCACTTTAGCCCGCTGAGCCTGAAATTCAACCGGTCGAAGGCTGTCTGTTGTCATGCGTTGAACGCCACCTTGGGGCGTCGTCGTCGTAAATTTGCCCGGGCGAAATTTGCAAGGCCGCACCAGATGGGACCACAAAATGTTACCATCTCTTTGGCAGCCATGATGTTTTGCTATTAATGACGAGCACGGTGAGTACACTTTGCCCATTGCATCCCTTTCTCTTTGATCACTTTCCAGTAGCGGTGCTGCGCGACATTACTAGGAATGGATTGGGACTGAGACAGTTTTGTATCCTGCGTAGAAACCTTGTCTGCCAAGCTAGTGTGTAATGGACACCATGGGGAAAAGGACAAAAAGATTCCAGAGTCCAGATTTGCACACACCGGCATCAGCCTGGGAATGGCGGAGGCAGAGCAGGTGAGATTTGCCCACAAGGGTTCTTGACTATCAGATGGTGCATGTGGGTCTAGATTCTTGGGTGACTCATCCCAATCAACACCGGTGGGGCCCAGTAAAGTGTGCACCCCATGGGGCAGCCGGGATTGTTCCACCCATAGCGGCAGGCCAGAAGGACAGTATACCGTAGTATGATCTACCCTTTCGCATCGCAACGTAACGATTGGCCCTTTTATGCGATGCAATAATGAAAACGTAACGGCGTCAAGAAAATTTGAGCAGCCCTAGCTACAACGCGAGTGTCTCTGGAGCGCTCTTGTCGTCTAACAGGCCTGGATGCGTGAGTTGCTGTGGTGGTGAACTGACATCTGAGGCCATGTGAACTGAGCGAAGTCACCATTCCGCTTGTGACGGTTGTGATGTGAAACAATCCATCATCCACCCCCGCGCGGGCCGCCGCCCCCCACACCCAAAAAAAAACATCCTGTCGATAAAATGCGGGGTAAAGATCGTAACGCTGAAATTCAAACTGCGGAAGGGCACAATATACTACGGTGGCCTTCTTAATGAAGGATATGTTGAGTGAGTTGCAAATTGCTATATACCATGCACTGCAATGCATTTGAAGCAACGAGCCTTTTGGAGCGATGTGGTGGGCATCTGATGAATTTAGGCAGCATTCGTCCAGCAATCCAGAAAGCATGGCCAGAAGCAATGAATGCTAGAAATCGATGTAAACCGATGATGTGTTTGCAACCACCTGTGGCACGTAGCCCGAAGCCTGAGCCCATTGACCAGCGTTACGTTCTGCGAAAGGTGGATTGGCAGATATGGCCTTATGTTCCGACAAGTTGGGAAGGCGCCCAGGCCAATTGTTGATTCTCTGCATCAATCAGCTGAACAGGGAAAATGGTGAATCACCTGTCTTCGATCGGTAAAGTGTTCCTTTCAGCTTTGTGCTTGACTAGCGGTGACGAGAATATGAAACGATTGTTATGCAAAACTACTTTGGCCCACGGAGTAGAACGTGCTGAAGCCATTTTGTTGTCATGGTCGCAAGGCGCCTCTCGATTGTATGTTTCATGTCCACTCGTTCACCATGCGCCCATGTCTGCTGGCTTTGTGGGTGTGTAACTACTGTGGTAAGGCTCTGTATCGCCTCTGGAGCGGCCAAGCCCAGCGCAGTACCGGTGGGTGCGAGAAGCGCTGGTGTTAGTTGTTGAAGGATGCTGTGTTTTGCGACAGGGGATGGTCGTGTTTGGAGGCGTGAATGCGGAGGCTGCCCACAACGATGTGGCCGTGTGGACAATGTAGTGTGGCTTGGATCAAGGCAATGCCACACGCTTAAAAATAGATGGGCATGATTGAGTTGGCTGTACCTGTGCGATTGAAGATGGATACAGGTGGTGCTCGAATTGCAGGGATAAGCTTAGCAGGCGTATAGATTAGAATGGCACTCCAGTGCGCTTGGCAGGATACCGAGTCAAACGTGTAACAAACTATGTGCGCTCTGCGGTCGCCACTCGAAGGGCCTCTGCCTTTGGACTCTCCACATGCCTGAACCCCACGAGGTTGACTGCACAAAGAGCCAATGTCTGCAGATTGGAGTACCCGACGTATTTCTGTTAAAACACTCATCCGCATGATTCTATTCCAGCGATACCCTCAACCCACGGCAGGGCTTAAACAACAGTAGAACAACACGCAGAAACGCCTGGAGAGATGGTGTTTCTGGGACACCTGTACAGCCCAGTGGTGAGCTCGACGTACCATATTTAGTAGTGGAATGCTGAGAATCGCGGGAAGGCTACCAATCCCCTGCTACACGGCCTGAACTGCAAATCAAGGAGAGCTGTCGGAATAGTGACAACGGTGAAGCCTACAGGCCACTGTGTAGGATCCGGATGGGGGCAATCAGCAAACGAACCCTGCCCGCAAGCCTTGATGCCCAATAAATTATGAACTGGAACGGGTCCTCTCACTCTTCGCCGAATCGGCTATCCCTTGCAGCTGTCACAGCGTGAAAAAGCAGGAGTCATCCTAGGAGAGAAATCCAAATAAGACCATCACCTTGACTACGGCCTGAAGGGCGTCCAGAGCAGTGCATTTCCATAGCAAAACACAAAACGCGAGAGGTGTGTGAGTCCATCTTCGTACAGCTGTTCTGCACCCCTAAAGGCAAGGCCACATATTAGCTGGACGAGTTGGTGTGTGGTCTATTTCAAATAGCAATATTGGCACATATTAACGCTTTTGTGGTGCATTAAATACAACAATCAGTGAAACGAAAACCGCGTTCCTCACACACGGTTGCTCCCAGGCAAAGGAAGCAAGGCCATGAACAGCGGGATTACAAGATGAATGTCAGTCAAACAACATTCATTGCAAGTGTGCTGAGTCCCTGCTCCCCATATCTGAGATACGATACGGGTGAATATGGAGACACGATGTCTCCATATTCATTTCACCGTGCTCCAAACCATGCTCACCAAATTAACCCGTACCATATTCAACACCGTTATCCTCACCCTCACAATCATGATTTGCTTATGTGATCCTGCAGGTATAACTCGCGTCCCATGGTCCTTCACGTCGTGACAATGGCCAACACATCAATGGCGGTTAGTTGAACTATGCGGACAATATCTATGTACTGGCACGCCTTGACATGAGAATTCACCTCCACGCATCAAATCGCCCGTGAATGCATCAGTTAGGCAAGGGGTGTGCCACCGAAGTGCCAATGAGGAGACTGTCATGATGCACGTAATCAATGCTACTGCTAGTGATGCCCATCCGGCTTTCATCCGTTGAACGATAATACTGAGGCAGTATTTGATTTTGCATATCGAGGCAAGGATGGTGTCGTGAGCCTCCCTGTTTGGCCGAGAACAGCAGTGTCCGTGATTTGTTCATAAAAATTAGAGTTGTGGACCAACGAAATCCAGAATCCACCAGGTCCTACTTTCTCCAAAACAAGGTTGATGATAAATCATTGACAGCGCCTTTGAGATTAGGCGAGCGGGGACAGAACCAAAGCAGTGATTTGCCATTGCGATGAACAAAAAATAGAGTTGTTTCGATGTAAACCATGGGCGAATAGAAAAGGCGATTACCGTAGCTATTGAGTTTCTGCCTAAGGAGACGTGGGCGGGAGACGAGAACATGTCAATTGCCTGGCCGTCGCCCAGACTTTAAGGCCAATGGTGGCGAGTGATGGGCTGGTCAAGTATTCACATTGGGCATATTGGCCACGCTTTTAAGGGAGCGCGTCCAACTGGTCCCGTGGGTGGCCTGGCGCGCTTTTTTGAGACGGCGAGTGCCACCTGTTTTATGGTGGCGCCCACAGATCGTCTCCATCCTGTTTTGCTCTCCTTCCCACCCATCCCTAGGAGTGTGGTTTCGGTTTGGAGGCGGAATTTGCCAAGTGCAAAGTACTGGAGAAAGTACTGTGGTTCGATTCGCGAAGCAAGGGCAAATACTAAGATTCGACGGTCGCTGGGCTTTGTTTGGGTGACGGACACCAGCTGGGAATGTCTGTAACGCACTTTGGCCAGTGTGGACTCAAGCGCGAACAGTGCTAATATCCAGACAGGCAGAAACGGCCCAGAACTTGCGAGACCGAATGACGCGTTCAAAATTTTCGTCCCACCCGCTTCCTCGTGTGATGTAGGTGGTTGTCAAGCGTCCCCTCCTGACAACGGCCTCGGCATGTTGGTGGGTCGTGAAGCCTTGTACACCAGTTGACATACAGTCTTTTCAACAGATCCAGAAACACGTCCACATTGCTAGTGTCTTCTCCAGCCATTCTGCGAGGATTCAGCGATAGTACAAGCACATCAAGCCAGTCTACCGATATGAATGATTCCTATCAACATTACAACCTATCTCCTTGAGGACATTCTTCCTGCGATTTCGTTGCGGGGGTGCATTTTGTGGAAGTCGGGAAACAACGACACCAAGCGAGACAATCTCTTCCAGAATTTTCGAGGCGATTGTGTCCTTTATGCCACTTGGCTCCTGAAGACGATGTCCATTTTCTCTTCCACTGCAAACCTCATGACAACATCCGTCGAAGCCACTCTTGTGTTTTTCGATGTCGCAATGCGAGAGTACGTTTTGCTTCGGTTCCAGCTCGCCAGCTTGCGAAGACACTTCGTTTGATGTATTACCTTCGATTATCGCTTCTAGGCATCGGGAGTTCATAGAATCATATAATTAGTTTGTATTTCTCATTAGATTTCAATGAACCGATCACCGACTCTGCTTTGCTCAGGCAAAATAGGAAGCTGACGGCTACCTCATTGCCTTGTTCTGTGAAAAGTAATGATGATGATGAAACCTTCTATCAAGTGGAAACGACTCCAACCAAGCGCTTTCCACCAACAAATTCGCCTCCAGGCATGGATGGAGCGCGGATGAATCCGAGTGGCCACACAGTCCGCGCCCAAGCGGGTCAGCTCGACTTTCTACCACCGACGCACGTGGCTCCCAGGGAGTGGGGACTCGCACAGGCCACTCCACAGGGCCAGGCCAAGACTCGCTGGGGGAATCGCGCGGCGGTACGGGTATGAGTGAATGGCGCAGGTGCCGCGCCACGTGTTAACGGCACACCTGCTTGAGGAGGACGAGAGAGAGCCAGAGGCGGAGCCCGAGCGCGCCAGGGAGACGTTCCTGGTGGAATGCGCGCCAGAGCAAGAAGAGACGCAAGTCAGACCGCAGCCCGACCTCAACTGGGCTTTCGTTTGGTCGGAAGCCAAAAGCTATGCAAAGTTTATACTTCCGATCGTGCTGCTGAACGCGGTAATTGTCATCCTCATCGTAATCTTAGTTCTGCTCTTCTTGTGATCGCATGAGGGGCAGAGAGGGTAGGAATGGGATGTGGTGGGTAGGTTCTTGTGGGCACTGAGGACTTGGAGTGCAGGGTACAGTGGTTTGGGGGCAAAGATACTGAAGAGGACAAGGACTCGATGCATGAATTCAAGGCGAAATAATGCTGCTGTCGTGCTACAGTAACAGCACAGTTGTTTCTTCTGCTGGTGCTTGATTGGTGCCATGTGTGCGTGCGTTGTTTGTGGTTGGAAGTGGAAGCACAACAAATGCGTGCAGCAGGAGGCAGTGGGGTAACAAAGAAGAAGAAGTGTACCATCCAACAGTGTGGAGTCGCTGCAGAAATGTCTGAATGCGCTGTGAGCTAGGCAGCAGCAGTGTGTCTTGTGCTTGGGGGCTGTCCCTATTTGCTTCAGAAGGTGTCCTCAAAAGGAGCAGGAATGGCACGTCTTGACTAGTTGCGCCCGGCACGCTGAGCCTGGCACAATGGGCGCTTTGTGCAGCTGTTGTAGCAGCATGGGTCACTCCCTGCATACAGTTGGTTTGAGCCAGTTGCTCAGGCTGAGAGTTCATAAGAAAATTTTGGTTGATCCCCACTGTGGACAGACTGCAAGACATCAGTGAGCTCAGGGAACAAATAGCACAGTGCCACATCATAAGGCAGTTTCTGCCACCTTACAGCAGCGGGCTGTTCCATCAGTCTGGTGCATAGCAGGAGACAAGCTGCGCAGGTTAGTTGGTGTGAGAAATGCCCTTCAACTGGCGCTGTGGAGTCCTTGCGTGGGACACACCAGTGTTCTGCTCTGGCAGCATGCAACGTAGAGCGTGGGTCAATCTTGTGCAGGTCCCATTGTTTCCATCATTCTGGAACCTGGGCAACTGAGGGGTTTTATGTCCACTGCATGTAGTCGATAAGTGTCATGCACAACGAACTGCATAGGCATAAGGTCGGCTGTATCTTGAGGTACTTGCAACTGTAACTTTTCCATCACTCTAGATTAGCTATTTTGTTTGCAGCTGCTGCATTTGAACATTACAAGTGTGGGTGGCCAATTTATAGGAAGAGAATGCGACAGGCAGGTCTCAACTTGGGGGGCCAGATCATACCCAGGGCACCGCTCTCTTGTGAAGAACGCAAGCAAACATCCTGTTAACACTCCTGGGCATACATTCTTTGGGTGAACTAGATATACTTATGAAACCCACTGCAACTTCACCAGCAGTTGCCGCAAAACAACGGCTGTTAGCGAAAAAGCTCAGAGGGGTTCAATGTGCTGAAATCCAGTCCAACACAGCACTCGTCAACCTGTGAATTGTTTTGACCAGCAATGTGTGCAATAACAAATCCTGACACCTCGCATCCTCTGTGCCTCCCCCAAAGATTGGCCCACAACCTCCCCCACACTCATCTCTTGCCACGCTGGCACCCACTGCATTCAACAGTTCAAGGCAACGTCAGAAAGCAAACATGGCAAGGGTAAAAGTGGCATCTGCCCCACCACACAGAATGTGTCACCATGTTCCATCCTTTGGAGTGCGATGAAGCATTTGTCCTCCTTTTAACCTCTTCGTGCTCGGTAACACCTGCCCTTCGCGTGCTGATTCTTGGCTGGGGTCTTGTCCAACTTGCCACCAAGGGGCATGACAGACATAGCTTCAACTTGCGCCATACCCTCATCCTGGTCTTCTGCATCATCAGCAACATGGCTAACAACAAGTGGAGTTACTCTTGATTTCTCCTGGTTATCCTGTTGAGGCTGATGGCTGGGGTTTTCTTTTCTCCCTGGGGTTCCAGTCACAGACACTGGATGTCAGCCCCTCGTATAAGAGCCAACAGTGTGTACAGCGCGAACAATAGCTGTACAACAGGTACTGGTGCATCTCCTAACCATGTGCGCTGTGACAGTGCATGGAGCATAGGGATGGCATATCTGTTCTTGCGGCTGCAGCATAAGGTTCCCAACAGATGCACACGATGCTCTCCTGAGCACCCCGGCAACCAGGTACCACATTTCAACATGAAGGACCAGTTGTCAGTGGCAGAGCGAGGAGGAATTTCACAACCCAATTAGCAGAACTGTGAAATGAACGCTTGTCAATGCAGTTTCATAGGATGTCGCATTCACAATTCCACTCACACAAGCCATGAGACCCACAAGAAGGATCGAGCAATTACAAATACCAACCATCAATGCTAAACATTCGTGCACTAGACCACTCTCATCGATATTCCCTTTGTTCGCATCCATTATTTGTCCATACTTGTCCACACAACCCTGAGAGAATCACCAATATCATCAACAACTTGCACATAGGTTCTTAATCTGTGATTTTAACAGTGCTGCTCTCGGCCTGTAACTGGGCATTGCCCATGGACATCGCAGGCTGGAGTCTCCAGCACATGATATCAGCATCCACATAATGGTGCCACCTGTGCAGTTGGATTGCAAACAAGAGCCGTTTCAGGGCCAACTGCTTCTGCAGATTCCCTTTCACAGAACAGTCAATCACTTGAAGTTTGAGCATCAGGAACCCATTGTGCAAGCTGGTTACTTCAAACCAGGCCCTCTGCTAGTCCTGGTTCCCCTGTGATGGCACTCCCCACTCCCACAGCAACCCGCATGTCTGTTGATGACATACCTCTTGGCCTGAATGCGATTCCAGTACCAAACTCCGGAATGAAACGGTTAGAGTGTGAGTCCACCCCTGGTTCCATAAAAGCCTGCACACCACGTTGCTCATGTTCTGCGATAGTCTCCTCCGTTGGACAACCCACAAGGAGAGGCTCTTCCAGTGTGTAACAGGTGTACTTCTCGGGATGCTGGACATGGTCGGGAACCTTGGAGCGCCTGACAGCAACATGCACATAAAGTAGATGATTTATACACAAATAAGGACAGGTGCCTGCCCTGGTGAAGATGAATATTGGCACCTGGCAAGATCGACAATCACTGCCAAAAATGCAACAATGCTTACGGGTGCTTCTTTCTGCGGGGTGGCAGCTCCTTGGCCGCATTGAAGCTCCCACGAGCAGTTCGGCCCTCCTGCTGGTCCCGAATCGATGCTCGGCAGCCCCCGTGCACTGTGGTGGAATCTGAATGGTGTGCGGCCTGGATTGAGCACGACATTGTGCAAGATGTTTGATTTCAAGGGAAGACTACAAAGACTATCAAAGCAGGACCATTATGTTGTACAAAAGGAAAAACAGAATCCGCACCTCAGCAGCCCCTCGTACCCATTCTTGGCCCGCCGTCTGTGCATCGCAGATGCGATCCATGACATTGTCTGGTAAGACCTGCAAATTCAGAAGAGCATTAGGGCAGCGGAGAGTTTAGAGTAGTGTTTTTGCCTGAGATTGGGGACGATGCTCAAGGCCACACCTCCATGCTTCTGTGAGGTTTGGGTTCCGGTTGTCCACCATCTCTTGTCAACGTTTCCGCTGCTAGAATGTCAAATTCGTCCGCCTCATCCTCCAACTCGAATGCCTTTCGGGACGCGTAGCTGGGCTCCTCCTGGGATTCAGCGCCGGTTATATCCTTCCAGGACATCAGGGGAGGGGCAGCTGTTGGCCTGCCCTCCTCTTGTTCATCTTCGCTGCTGTTCCCAGCTGCTGCATCGGACACTATATCCGGCCCCTTTGTCCTCGTCGAGACGGTCCACAACCTCGATTCTGGCTGTTCACCTGGCGCTAAAGCGCTGAATGCAGCAGCAGCCCTCTCAGCAAAACTGGGCAATCCGACGCTCATTTCGTTCCTGTCCTGCGTCGCCAACTGCGAACGTCCACAACTGTACGCTCTTGCTTCACCAAAGCAGCCTTGGTGTGTTACAGCAACCCTGCGGACGGCCCCACAGCACCCTGGCCCCCGCCACAAGTGTCACGCGGCATTGAAGACAGTGGGCATTCGGCCACCGATGAATGACACACACATTGTCGGAGTGGAAGCCACTCGGAAGTGGGTACGGCGACCATATTCGGCGCCTGAAGGCCACAGCGACGATTCAATCAGCGCCTGACGACACAGGTTCATGACCGGGCTGGGCCTGGGCTGGTTGCAGCGTGCGTGCCTCTGAATGGCGCCCTTCAAGTTCAATTTCGACCTCGGTCACCGCACTTGCGACAGCCGCGCTGCGGACGCTCCTTCCGTGCCCGCGCCTTTGCGAGACCTGCCGCCTGCTCGGGAAGAGTTTCCCCGACAGCCGCGCTGCAGCGTGGACCAAGTGCAGATATCACCCGAGGTGTTCTTGCTCAAGGTTGGAGGCATTGTGGGACCGTGTTTGGCACCGCACGGGTGCGATGGTGGCGCTGGCTCTGGAGCGACGAGTGTCGTGGCGTCTGCAGGGCAATGTTACCTCGGAGGCCGCGTCAGTCCTGACGGACTGCCAGGAAATCGCCCGCAGCGACCTTGTTCCCGGCGTGTATGAGGGTGAGAGCGGTTGATGTGCTGCCCCAGCGTTACGGTGTGTTGATGCGGTCTCGATGCAATGTTGCCATCAAATTGCCTGCATGCAGCTGCACCCAGCTATGCTTCAGGAAGAAGGTGCAGGACACAAGGGCTGAGTGGCTTGTGGCCAGCAATGTTGGCATTCCATATCTGCTTACTGGGGCCGTGTGTGAATATACATGGGCTGTATATGATTTGGTCCAGGGGGTTTCAAGCTGTGGGAAGGTGCCACCGACTTGTGCAAGTACCTGTGCGAGGAATGGCAATATGGATGTGAACTAATGGATACACAAGAGGAGTTTTCCCAGCCATTGAAGGTATAAGTTTTCTGCATTTTGGAATCGGCCTATCGTGCCTGTCTATGTTTTCTTTATTATGGAGAATGCACATCATCGGCAATTAGTGATTGCTGTCAGCAAACTGACACTTGCCAATCGTCTGCTGTCTTGTGTACAGGGCAAGCTGGTTCTGGAACTGGGCTGCGGACATGGCTTGCCAGGGACCGTTGCACTCTTGGCAGGTGCTGAGGTGCATTTCCAGGTGCTCACCCAATTGGCTGGCAGGTAGTGTAGACACTTGTGTTTGCAGAATATCACTTTATTCAGCCCAGCAGCCACAGCTTGTCAGCCCAAAGCTGCTTGCCTGCAGTAACTTATCCGTTCACTGCTTTATCCCTTGTGTGACACGGCCTATGTCAGCAATGTGACTCACTGTATTCTTGTGCTGCTTTGGGGGCAGTAGGACTTCAATTCGGAGGTGCTGCATGCGCTCACGTCGGTGACTGTTGCTGCAAACCAAGGAACTCTACCAGAAAGTAGCCAGAGGGCAAAGGTCAGATATTTCTCTGGCGATTTCAGACAGGTGTGCCACTTTTGCACCTTCCCCTTCAAGACCACATTTTCTAAAATAACATGAGTGCGGCCTGGGTGAGGTCTGTCCGTGAATGCGGTCGTTCCATCGTGATTGGGTTGTCTGGCTGATATTACAGTCCTTGCGACCAAAGGCGGGAATTGTGCAGCAACATCTGACTGACAGCCTCTCAAACTGTGTGCTGCAGATTCCAGAGAAGCTGATCAAAGAAGGCCTTGGGGGTAAATATGACATCATATTGACATCAGAAACACTGTACTGCGAGGACACTCAGTACCCACTGATGGAGGCCATCAGACAAGTACGACACCGTGATGGCCTTCCTGCACTCCGTTCAGCCCGACCAGCATTGTGCATGCATCTCACTACAGCCTTGTGTGCCTGCAGTGTTTGAAGCCGTCAGGAGGGATTGCATACATTGCCTCAAAAACACACTATTTTGGAGTTGGTGGAGGCACTGGAAGGTTCAAAGAAATGGTTGAAAACAGTGGTGAGCACACATGTGGAGTTTTCACTTGAATGAAGCTGTTGCGGGCATCCCCATGATCTGAGTGGCTGTATCACTGTTGGGTTTTTGTTTGATTGCTGAAGCCTTTAGCGTCTTACCATGTAACAGGGAAACCTTGTGCTGCGTGTGTTTGGGAGATGGGTATGTCCAGCAGAGAAAACCCAATTGGTGTCTGTTGCAAGGACGAACAGTGTGTGGACAAGTTTCTTTTTTTGCTTTTGGTGTGTATGTAGGTGTTATGGAGTGCAAAACAGTGTGGAAAGCTAGCGACGGTGTCTCCAATCAACGAGAGATCTTGACGCTGACATTCCCTGGTGGCAGCCTCCCTGGTGGTGGCTAATCTCTCTTGTGCACCTCACTTAGGAGCTTCCTTATGGCGAGTGATCAGTTCAATTTTCGGCGTTGGGACTGTGCAAGTCACAAGGATCATGTTGGAGTCGCGACATTCAGGTTATCATGCAGACTGCTTGCCGTTGTGGATTTCACAGTGTGTGTTGGAAAACCCCCAGTGCTCGGAACAGCAGTAGGCACCTTGTAGACGGGGGTTGGCGACTCGTCTTGATGCTGACTTCCGTTGAATAGGGGACGTACAGTAACAATGTCGAAAGTTGCCCTCCCTTCCCGCCAACTCGCAGAGCAGAGAAGACCCTCACGTGTTGGTTGGGTGCGGCTCAGGAAGTGATCATCTGTTTGCCGCATCTCCACGTGTTGATTCTGTTCTGCTTACAAATGGTTCGCCAGTCTACATACCGCAACCCCGATGGCTGCATAGGCCGTGTACCAGCCGTAAGCTGAGAGCCAGGCTGTGATGCGCCTTATGGCTGGATTGTCTGGACCACATTCTTGTGCAATCTGATGTCAGGTTGTATTGTCTGATGGGCCTATAGCAGGCACGGGAATGCGAGAACCTGACTGGTTTGAGCAATTTGTGAACATAGACTTGCGGTTTAGTCTACTGGGTGACTGGCACGTATTTTGGACAAGCAGATCACCCGAACTTGACGAACTTCGTGACGTAAGAGGCACCTCGGTTGAAGCGCAGAAGTTTCGATTGGACTGTTGCCCAGGCTCTTGGATACTATCTGAAACATAAGGAGGGCTCATGACAGGGGGCGTAATGTGAATGTTTCCTATGGAGCACGTCTGTAGTTTGATTGCAGATGTTGCTGCCTGAAAGCGTGCAGCGAAAGGCCGCACGCAGGTTGAAAGTATATCTGGTGGTCAGCCACGTGTCGAGAGATGGCCAGTTTGTTGGTCGGCAATGCGACGGGACATTGTATGCTCTTCTGATGGTCTTGGTGCAGAGCGACTTTACCCAAGTCACTTTCGATTGCTTGTCTGAGCACGGAGTCAAATGCGAGCGGCGTGATGTAAATGAATGGTGGCCTTGGTGTGTGGACAGCTCTGTATTGGGTTTGTCCAATATCAGTGGGCCAGAGTGCAGAACAGCCCAGAGAGCACGAGGCACTAAGGTTGCAGAACTTGTGTTCAGCCACACATATACCCCATGGTTGCTGTACTCTCCCACTCGCTGCCCGTTGGCTCAGAGCAGTTGCACCGTCTTTTTAGGCACTTGCAGATCCAAATTCCCTGAGGGCGCAATGCACATGCGCCCTGCAGCAGCAACACTATGGATTCCTGCATTCGCCTATCTACATCAGCCATCCAACAGTCAGTATGAGCGTAAGTGCGAACAGGAACACACAATAGCAAATCAGGACGAAAAAATGAACTATCCGAGGAGGTCCAGACGGAATCCTCACAATACAGTCGTTGGAGCACCGTTCACTGCCACCAGAAGCTCACTGAGAAGCTGATGGACAGGGACTTCACATAATGCCACCATCTTGGTGGGATGTAAAGCATCTGCCCAGGCTCAAGTACGCAATCCACGAAAGGTGCTGCCTTGAACTCTGGCGAGTCCAGTGCGTCAGGACAGTCCAAATCCACCTGGCTCGAGTTCATTGTCAGCTCTTCTGTGCGTGGTGCCAGGCACGACGACAGCTCTGGTGCGTAGAGTCGCACATATTTCCTCCCGACGACTTGCCCTAGCAGGTTGTGATGGGCATCATAATGAAGTGGTGTTATTGTTTCAGGCGGCCCAAACCAGGCATTCACACTCTGCATCTCACCCTTTCCAAGCATGCAATACTCGGGTGTGCGAATATCGTGGAGTAGTGCAGGAATCTGGTCAAAGAGAGGATGCTGAGCCAGATACCCTCTGGTGTCTGCACAGTCTCCAGCTTCTCCCTCTGTACCCCAAGCTATCCTTGCTGATGGGTGCATGTACTTTTCCACGAATTCTGACAGTGTCATAAGCCTCTGTGACCACTTGTCTGACAAATAGTGCCTTCCCTCCTCAATTGGCACAGTCCTATGCCCAGCCACACTGATGAGGTATTCTGCATCGCACCATTTCTTCAGCGCAGGCCAGCCTTCCATGCAGCCCGTCAGAACTACTGGCTTGGACTTCCCACCAGGGGCCATGTAGGACTCGAGAAAGCACTCAAGTGATGGTAGGTCCTTTGCATCCAGGGACGAGGTCGAGACTTCATTTAAGGATCGCGGCGGAAGAGGCACAACTTTCTGTTCTAAAAAGCTATCCTCGAACGTCAGATTGCCCATTTTCATAGGAGGCTGATGCTGGCTCAAGAAGCGCTGCACAGCATTAATTGCACTGTCTAGAGGGAGCCTAAACATAGGACCCCCCATTATTGCCCCCATGTCGAGTTCCCGAAGCAGGTCTGTTGCCTCCTTTGTGGCGTCTTCCACTGCATATGAATTGCCTGATGCCTTCAATGGTCCATGGCCCATTCTGGAGCCTACTTCGGAACCATCCTCATCAACAAGAGACGGATCGTTGTTCCCAAGCGACACTTCCTGGTTGCAGGATTGGCCAACATTCTCCACTCCTGATGCTGCCAGCTTTCTTCTCTTGGGAACCTGCTCATAGTGTGGACAATCTCCGACCTGTCTGAAGGAATCCTGAGAAGGTGCATTTGGGGTGCTGGCGTGGGCATCCCGCCGCTGTTGGAGGTCGGTTGGATGCATGGCGCCCTCTCTGCCATTTGCCTCAGAAGAAACTTCCACCCTGGAGCACTGGGACGGGCACCAGGATCCCCGCCTTTTAAAGTCCTCCAACCCATGGAGAAACGGTACCGCAGCCAGGACCTTGCCAAGGGTGTAGGCGTCCCTCCAAGCGACATCCACATCTTTCCAGAAGCCGATGTGCAATTTTTCCCAAGCGACACCCGCCAATATGTGGCCCAAATGGGAACATTCGCGCAAGCGACCATCTTGAAGGTGGCCCAATGCCTGGAGAGCTACTCTAGCGCAACTTCTCCCCCCCAACCGCCCCAACCTGGGAACCAGTTCCTTCTGGACGTCGACATGGGCATTCAAATCCAACCACTGCAAAAACTCTGTGGAGGCATCCGTAGCTTTCCCGGCTTCCATTGGTCCGCAGAAGAGGCTGAGGACAACGCAACTAAATGCGACACCCGCAACGCAGCCGGGACGACAGCGCCACTTGGCCAGCAGCAGTCCAGAAACTCAGTGTGTTGTGTCCCTGGCGCAAATCCATCTGCTGACTCTGCACACAGTCAATATGCTAGTCAGCAGGGCAAATTTAGGTTTTTCTTGCTTGCTGCGCAGCAGGTAAGCTCCGGCAGAGAAACTTTCGGAGTACCCCGCAGGGTGCGCTTGACTCTGGTGCACGGGACCGTGATAAAGGAGGTTTGTTGTGAAGCAAGTCCCGGGTTGTCCACGTGACGATGCGAACACAGAAAACGAACAGAACGATGAGCACGCGGTGGGCTGGAGAGATGTGCGCATTTGCAGCTTGTGTTCAGTGCAGGTGCCAAGACGTGCGTGGACCACATCAAGGTTTGAGTGAACGTTTGCCATGATGCAATGATGATGTGTCGGGCCCACGCGTGGCGTGTTCGCTTCGAGAGGGCTCGTTTGCGCCACAGTGAAGGAAGATGCCGCAGGTGAAACATAAATGCAAACGTTGGGAGCCTAGTTCTATCGTGCATTGGCATTATACGAATAGCTTTCAAGTCTTTCTTGAGTCTATCCGCGCTGTTTGCGGAACGTCTGCTGAATGGGTTCACGATGCGTGATGTGTGTCCGGGTGTTTAAAACTTTGGTGCTTACATGGCGATGCTCGGCAACAGACAGCGGCGCTGTGCAGCATATGCTCGTCAGTTACTTCTGGAAGGAGACATTCAGCCGTTGTGGACGTCCGTGGCGCAAAAACAGGGTCCCCAAGTGAGCGAATCCCCGCTGGTGCGATTGCTCTGGGACAAAGCTGTTGACCCCAGCCTAGCACAGCTATCGATTCAGTCCTGCTTCTTAGGAGATTCTCAATGTCTTAAAGACGGACGCACGAGATCGCCTGTCTCCTCACGGTTTGAGCCTTTACAGAGGCTACTTTTGCAGCGTCTAAAGAGCACTGGCACCAAGTGACTGTTCCTCGTCAAAGGGGCTGCACTGCCAGGCACAAGTTGTCTGGATCGCGTGAGCGAGGTTTGATGTTGTGCTTTTGCCTTTCCTCTTCCAACTACCCTGAAACCTGCAAATGCATGTAAATGGACGCATTCTGATTAGATGACTGGAGTCTTTGGCATGCTGTCTTCATTAACAGCATCTGTCTGTTCAGAGAAGTGTGTGTGTGTGTGTGTGTGTGTGTGTGTAAGGAGGCAAGTGCAGTCATTCTGAAGTTGTTCGATACAAGTGCAATTCAACGTTTCGACCAGGGTGTTTCTTCTCAACAGCTCTTGCCAAGGGCAACACTATTCACAACAATCAGGCAGCTCCAGGAAAGAAAGGATGCAGGGTATCCAAGGTTGTTCTTTTGCAGTGTCTACTGGCCAAGGTGCGAATTTGGGGACAGTTCGTTTGGACCACTTTCCGCTGCTGTGGAAACTGCCCTGGTTCATCTGGTTGGTGCCAAGGGCAGTACTACTGTAAAGTCACCTCAGCACAAGTAACATCCACAACTTATTGCTACCAATCTCATCTTGTGCTGATGTTCGACTTCCTGAAATGTAAATGATGCGCATATCATCCTTTGATGACTGAGTCCAGTAAGAAACAGGGGGATGGTCTCTCAGAGGCAGAGTTCAAATATGTTGTATGGTACCTTTGCCAGCATTTCATTGCACTGCAAACTGCAGAAGGCGCCAACAGGCTTTGCTCAGCTGGATCCAAAACAAGTCTGACTCAAGAGACACGGACGCGTTGTGTGCGCTGGTCTTGGGTGCTTCGGCCACGTGTGGTGCAGACCGGACTTTCTTACAAGTGCTGATGGTGATCATTTCCACGCTTTTTCATTGATTGTCACTGACCATGTTTCTGCACATTTGCATCAACCAAGACTGACGCGGCTGCTGTCACAAGCCAGCAGCAGCAGTGCGATCCTCAGGTGCGGTGCCTGTGAGTGTCCACATTTCCTGTGCAGCTGACATTTTTCTGAAGCAAGGGGTGCAGAGGTCAAGGCACTGCAGTGACCTTGGGCACGGACAGCCCCACAGCGGCGGCCCCGAGCCTCCTTCGAACGATCCCGGGCAGCAGCCTGACTGAATTCTACAGACGAGAAGGCTCACAAGGGGATGCCGGCGCAGAGCGGCTGAGGTGCCGTCTACAGTGCTGTGGACACCTAACACCTGCGTGACCCCCACACCACGATTCCCCCAGTCAGCAAGCTCCGCCCCACTGGACCCCCTTCCGCTGGCTCCCCACCGGCCTCACGCCTGTCCACTCTCCCCCACTTACCACCCACCCCCGCCCTGGGTGCCTCCCCCTCCTGCCCCCACCACGCTACTGCTTCCCAGGCCGCCTCCCGTTCGCCTTGAGCCTCTCCCTGAGCCTGAGGATCACCGACCTCTCGTCCACCGGCATCTGCGCGAAGTGCGCCGTGACGGCCCTGCACAGCTCGTCCTTCCCGCTGCACAGCCACACACCGCGCACGTGGTACGTCTTCACGTAGCGCCGCAGCGAAGAATTCTTGAGCTTGCTCAGGTCCACGATGGGCTTCGTCCACAGCTTCTCATCGGCCCCCCGCGTCTCGGCGGCGGCCGCGCTGGCGTTCGCGAACCTGCCGGTCGCTGTGTTCTGTGCGCGGCGCGGCATGGGGCCACGGGGCATGCGACGGTGCGGGACCCGCGCCGGGCACCTCCCACCGGCGGGCCCGCACCCCGGCAACTGCTGCCCCTCCCGCGCAAGCCAAAGCCGAAGGCTGCGCTACACCGCGGGGTGGGGCTGTGGGGCGCGGGGTGGCCAGCACCGCAGGCTGCAGGGCGGAAGGGCGGCTTGGCCACCGCGCGTGGGCCTCAAGCAAACCTCGACATCAGCCGTCGATACGGGGAAGGCGGCCCTCGTTCCGCAGTACTTAAGCAGCTGTCGGCCAGGTTCCCGCGTACCAACGGGCCAGGTGGCCCACGACCCCACCAGAAGGGCTTCCAAGTCCAGAGAGCGTTCCCCTCCTACGCCAAAGGCGCTGCCACACAGCACGCGAGTTGTTGTGGACCGGAGACGGAAATCCAGCGGCCTGAAACGATCAAAGTGTGCTTTGAGCAGAATTTGTGGTCCCTCCCGTGGCGAGGAACTTGATCATTGGCAGTTTGCTCACGGCTCCGGCGGGTTGATGTCCCATGTCGGTTGATACTATTATGATTGCCTGGTTCTAGCATTTGTATTTGCATTTGTATTTGTATGCAGGAATCCGAAACAAAGGAATGGATACCAACAGATACTGACATAGCTTGAACCTGCGCTCCAAGGAATGGAGTGATAGAGTTCGGGAAATTATGCCAGGACCTGGCAACCATGAGATGGAAATTTGCGAACATGTATTGCACAGACATCAAATGCCAGCCTTCACAAGTTGCCGCAAGTGGGGCAACAAAGGCTGGCACAAAAATATTCCCTATGCCCTATACGCAGCCGCTCCTCGTTACCCTCTCAATACCCATCCCAAATTCGCCAAAATGAATGTGGCCCCGCGTCTGCTCGCTGGCTCCAGCCCTCCGTCCCATAAGCACCCTCACCATTCTGGTGCGATGTTGGCTCCGCGCTCGATCCGCACATTCTCGTTGGAGGGTATTATAAGCATGTCAAAGGCTCGCTGGAAAGGTGGAAGGGAGGTTCTTAATAGGCATGACAGCGGCATTTTCAAACAATTGTATGAACTCTAAAGTGGTCAATCATTTTTATTCTTGTGAGAGCTAGCCGGATGGACCCAACACTCAATATGGTGAGCTCCCAAAGCCAGCATCATTCTTAGCTAAAGGTTGAACCAATCTTGGGTATGCAGCTGCATGGCGGCATTGCCGAGAGCGCAGCACATTGTAAATCGTCCAGCAGTGCTGAGCTGAGTTGGTTGTGGACAACTGTCTGGATACTATATAGTTGATATCGTATGGGTCAACCGGCAAAACAAAGCGGTCTTATTTGCTACTTCGGTATTATATTGGCGTCACCTGATTAATACTTGGCGTCCCTAACTTGCAAATAGGACTAAGTATCAGAGTTTGATATTTGAAGCCTGATATTTCTAGCCTGAGCCGTATGGAAATGTCGCCTGGTATTTCTCCCTGATGATGTACTGTACATCACGGAGGATAGTGCCCGAGCATTTGGGGCCCCCCACCCCCACCCACCCCGCCTTGAGCATCAGGGCTGACGCCAAGAACGTGGGGTGCACTATCTTGCGTGGCCCCTGCGCTCCGCATCAAGTCGATGAATCACAAGCGTCTCCACGTTACCACAATGACCACCACACCAATTTAGCACATTAATACCTGATCAAAATAAGGCGCCAATCGCCACAGCGTTTCTGCGACATTCTGCACTGTCGATGCATCTTTTGATCCCGAACAAGGGTGTCCCATCATGGGAGCTGCACACACCACGTGCTATCTAATACACCCCCGGCGGGTCTGCCGTGGTGCCCATGCTTGACAACGCGGGAGGAGTTATCTGCAGGCCCCGGCGCTATTCAACATCCCCCGAACTATCCTCCGTGACCTACAGTACTGTTAAGGAGCAAATATCCCACCTTAATGGGTGGTCCAATATCTTTGTAGGAAAATTGAGCGGTCCCAAGCAGCCGAAATTAGGGATGAGCTTGCTGTGAGCGCATATTCGCACAGAGAACCCACTGTGCAACGCTGTGGGCAGGGCTTAGACTATGTTCCGGAAAAACGGTCAAACCACTGCCCTGCAGTCGCGAGGGAGGTGCATACTTCAAACAACATTCCCTGGTAGCTTTCGTGACTCCAAAGTCACATCATCTGGTCACTTCAAAACACCAAGGGCGTTGACTCTCAGAGGCTGTTTTGGTGACCAGATCGCTCGGAGCTGGTAGAGGAATACAGCATCAAGACAGGACAACTATTGGGTGGGTACTGACCCGGGTGTGCAGGAATTGTGTGACGCAGGATCCATTTGGGTTAGACGTGTTTTCTGGTCGCCGGTCATAAATTCTCTTCAAGGATGCTTACATTTCAATGCAAGGGCGTTGCTGTCACGTGCCCTTTCGCCGGAACAAATGCTACTGGTCGTTGCGACTGGGATAAGAGAAATGCGCTACAAGAATTCGATTGTTTTTGCACTGCCCGCCAGTAAAGGTCACGAGTGCAGAGTCTAATAGAAGGGAAGTAAGGACATAGGGTACGAGGAACCGAAAGCAGTTTGGTATTATTGCCGTCTATAAACGCTTCTTGGTAATAAGAATTGATGGATTCCTGGAGTTCCTTTGCGGTAAACACAAGATGTCAATGAATTGATCATGGACACTGCTTTTCTCAGGCAAAATAAGAAGCTGACGGCTACCTCCTTGGTTTTTTATGGGAAAATGAATGAGTGATGATGAAAGCGGTTTGGTTATACCATCTCAGCATTAAAAAATACTGATCATCCTGTTCTGTGCGATGGACAACGCCTAGACAGAAGGCAACCCAAGCATGTCCTAAAGTCAGGATGCAATACGGTTTCTTACCTTGGTTCATCAATGTTAGAGCTTCCAGAAAGGATGTAAGAATCAGCATTGCTCCGTTGTGTTGACAACTCATTAATTTCAGCTGTCATTCCACGCTGATGCCACTAGTACGAAAGCAGAGGCGGAGGACGACGATTGGCGGTGAGAGGGGCTGGGACTTTATAGTCGGTGATCCACCCGGACCCTCTGGTGGGCCTGGAATTCAAGAATCTTCTCAGAATGTAAGGGAAACGTCGTGCGAAATATGTCCTTAGTGCGCATGAAACCGTGTATGCAGTGTATATAGTACACTGCAGCTAGTGGAGCCATATGGCATGTCATGGCAAGCAGCACCAAGGCAGATTACGCTTCATTCGACATCTTCCATGTATCGGGAAGGCGATGAATACGTTGAGGACCATCCAGGGCCCATGAGTGATGCTTGCGGTTTCTTTGCAAGAGTGAAACCACGGGCACTTGGATTGAAATTCTTGTGCCAGTAAGACTGAGACGTGTTTTGTATCATGCGCAGCCGCTGATTTTTCGGAAGGACCAGGGAAGCAAACGTTTCCAGTGGAGAGTACGGAATCTGCCTTATCCAAAGGATGTGTTCTCTGTGTCCATTGGCCCGAGCGGCCGCGAGATTCTTGTACGGACATCAAACAAGAAGTGGGTATCAGAGCTGCAGCGAAGCCTGCTTGCACCTGTGAAAATAGGTCAATTGTGATATGTATGTGCCACATAAAATTACCGCCATGTCTTCCAACAGGTAGCGTAGCCAGACCGTGCTGTTAATGGCGCCGGGGATCTGCCAAATGTCTGCGCTGTTGTGCGTGGCATCAAGACACACTTGCACAAATATGTATGCAAAATTTTGCGCGAGGCCGGAATAGACGTATCAGAACAGGCGGTGACGGCAAAGAGCATTGTATTGTGTAAGGGTTCCATCCCTTTCTGCACTGGATTTGACCTTGCCATATGGTGATGATATTGTCCGCAGGATAGCCAGTCGAGACACCTGTTTTGACAAGAGATGTTGAATTGTCGCATTTTGTTGAGTGATCCTGCACAGTACGAATGGTGGTTGTGATGTTCATGGGGCCAATGAAGCTCTTCAGCCGTTCTTTTCGCCATGGAAGGCCCTGTGTCGAATTTGGTACGCTTGGCGTCGATTTGATGCAAAAGGGGGGGAGGGAGGATCCAGACCAGTAGCGTCAAGATATTATTTAATTGCCACAAAATCGACATAGGAAGAGATTCAATCACCACTGAATCGGTATAAGCCAGCTCATTAATTGCTCCAAAGTCTCCCTCAAGCGTTCAATCGTCAAGCATACTCCACAAATACCCCAACTGACGGCCTCTGGAACTGCCCCTATCCCCCACGGTAGCTTCATCATCCCGTTTTCCACCATCTGCAATCACCGCAACTCTGGCTGTTTGCATTTCCTAAAGACATCATGATGTTTCATCGCTCTATTTAGTAAAGTTGCTTAGTCATCTTGGCATGTACATAAGGGCTGAAGCTAAGAGGTTGGGAAATGGGGTCTTGTCTTAGCGTCAGTTTGACGGCAAGCGTGCCAAAATCGACACAGTGCCCTCCCTGAAAATACACATAAATCCCGATAATTTGAGTCCCAGTAACCGATTCCCACGACTACTGTCATCATTAATATTGGGGTTATAACCATGTCAGCTTCTCTGCGGATTAGCACCTCCGGGATTGCATGGGGCGCTCTCTCAAGCCTCTGCGCCATGTAATGAATCCACGACACCCTTCCAGATGTTTTCTCTGCCGTTGTGAAGGTACTTCAAGCGAGTTGGTATACCCGAGATGGACATGCTGGATATAGATCTCGAGGAAAGCAAGTTGGACTGGGAGCATAGGGATAATACGCTAATCATATCTTACGAAAAGCCTCAGGAAGTCATCAGGAAGGTGAGGGGGTATTCGCACTGCGAATTTCTGTTTGTCCCGACTGGAAGGGGATGGCCTTCAGCATGCCGCAGCCCTGCAGAAAACGATACATGTCGTTTGAGCGCAGTCCTGCGGAGTTTGCGCTGCAAATATCCAAGTGCCATACAGGGCTTGCACAGTGACGGAGCGAGGTTTTGTCTGCCAGGAATTGGAAGATTTGAAAGAAATCAGAACAATGAAGTCACGACCCGAGGGGGATGTCGATTGCAAGCAACAATGACCCACAGCGGGCCAGTTGTGACCCCACCTGACGCGCGTTGGCTGTGGGGATGTGCACCAGCACGTGCTGGTGTGGCTGTATATTATGCTGGAGGGCTTGGGCGCGTTCGCAGTTTGGCAACAAAACGGAGCTGCTGGGGTGGAAAGCTATACAAATTGGGTCATTCGCACATTGTACACGTGCCTTGGGGCTTGAAGCACGCAAACTTCTTGGGTTGGGAAAATCTTCCATGTCATGGAAATCTTCCATGCCATTCATTGAATGGCTCGACCATGCGTTCAACGCGTGTGCATCCTGTGCAGAGAGAACACCTACATTTGTCACTCTGCGGACCTCGTCTACTCAAGTCAAACTTGGGTGCATACATAAGGTTCCCATGGTAGTCGATGCACGGGAGAACTGCTAGAGCATGACAGGGGCTTCAAGGCCAAGGGCGTTCAAACAACGGCAAGTGAAGATCTTAACAAAGCTGATGTAGCACACTGTACAGTGGGAATTTGTTCGTGTATTTTGAACGAAAACTACCCTTGGGCGTTGCACATTGTCCTGCTCCTCACGCCATCCACCTCTCGTTAACCTCCCTGCGCATGCAGCACAGATTCCTGCAACACTCACCCATCACATCAAAGCCCAGTTAGGCCCACAGCTTTCTCTAGATCTGGATATCACCGTACAAGAAGCTGCGAGACATGGACGCATCACAACAAAGAAACCGGCCGTATGGCTGAATGGCCATACTTGCTCATTAACAGGCAACCAAAACGCTGGTATTAGACCCGCCATCCATGCAACGCTGCACACACGCTCCCATCTCCCATGCACGTCACAGGAGCAGCGGCAAAGCGGCCAGGATATTCGCAGCAACTGGAGGGGCCTTCAAGTGACCACAAAATCTTCGCACGCCTCTCCACTGTAGCCATCAAAGCACAAACATTTCCCTTTCTCCAGGTTGCAGAGGCCAAGTCCACTGCAATCATTCGGACAGGCCTTCATCTGCCCCATGTTGGCAATTTGCACCTCCGCTTCGCAATTTTCGCCAGAACAAATTTCAATGCTTCCTGCAGCACTCATGCCCATGACCTCCGGCTGGTCGATCACAAAGGCCCTAACGGGTGGCAGAGAAAATGTGCCCACAGTAGCTGCCACAGCGCGGAACGTGACCGCCTGTGTGCCTGGGGCCAATTCGTTGTACTGGAAGGTCACGACATCTGGCCGTGTCTCTTGGACTGCACAGCTGAAAACTGCAAATGGAAACTCTTCTGACAGCAGTGGGCATATGAAGCTTTCAGAGGCGGGATCAATGGGCTCCAAGCCGCCAGGCATGAGGGCACGCAGCATGGTGCCACCCAGCAGATCGGGGTTGGTGACTTGCAATGTCACAGCGACCACAGAGCCCAGGGGAATCTTCGAAAGGGGAGGACTGCTGGCGTTGCCTGAATTGCTATCCGTCATTTGTATGCTCTGTTCAACCAGTATGCCCTGGAATGTCGGGAAATCGATGGGTCTGCGTGGCACAAACATTAACGTCACAGCCAGAGTCACCTCGCCGGCACCAGAAACCTGAAATTCAAGCGGCTCTGGGTTCTTTTTCAGCTCTTCCCATGACACAGACTCCTTGACTGTTCGCAGCGCTGCTGAACCGAACGATTCATTCAACAGCACATTTTTCCCAGTCTTGACAACCAAGGTGACCTCTGGAGTAGCACTCCCAGCCTTGAGGTCATAGTCACCAATTGCCCACAATGCAAACGCCTTCTCCAGGGCATCGAAACCCCCAAAGCCACGGACTCCTGCAGGAGCACTGCCCACAAAATTGGCCAGCCTGTCCAGTTGGGGGGTGTCAGGTGCGCCACGGGCAAAAGCCAAGAGTGCAAGGGCATTCCCCGTTGTGCTGGCAGGGTACTCCGAGCCCTCGCTGTCGCTGATGTACACTGTGCGGCTGCCCACCCTGAGGTTTGATGTCCAAAATTCCAGCACGTTTTGCACATTCTCGTCTGCTTCGCCATCTGCTGCTTCCAGGGTAGCCAGCACAAACCGAGCTTGATCCTCCACTGACAAGGTCAGGACTTTGCTTGCAGCGCGGTCCATGGACAGGTCGTTGGCAACCCTTGCGTTTGTGCCCTTCGGCGGACTCCAGGCCGCTCCCAAGGCCCACCTTGCCCTTATCACCAAACTTACATCGATGCGTTTGCCATCTTTCCTGGCTGCCCGAGCACTGTCAACGATTTCTCTGGCAAGGGCGTCGCGCCAGTACTCTGCAAGGCCCTCGAGCTGTGTTGCCTCTGTGTCCAGTCCTGCTGCCAGCATCAGTGGCACGGCTTGCTCGACCAGCCAGATGCCATCTGCATTCCTTGCAATACTGATTGTTTGGTCCACATCTTCGGTTGCAGTAGGGGTCTGAGAGTAAGAGCACCGCAGCCAGGGCTGAAGGCCTGTTTCTGGATTTGTGAGTTTGGTCAGAGTGTCCACTGCCGATGATAAATTGGCCACAGAACTGCGGACCAACGAAAAAACCGACTCATCAAGCCCTGATCCCAAGGCTTCAGAGTCTGTTGCACCCGTGAGGTCGTATTTCTGAAGTACAGCAGGGATAACAGACAAGGCCAAAGCAAAATCAACGGATATGGGGCACTCATGTTCTGGGTTGGTGTCAATCACCATATCTGTCAGCGACAGAACTGTTGCAAGTCGGCCCACCCCTGCTGTGATGCCAACTGATCCACTCCCTGGGACAGCCTGGGGAAGGTCCAGCAACTGCTGAAAGCTTTCAGTCCCATCCTCAGGTGCCGCCACACTGAAGGACGTTGCCAGCACAACTCGCTCCTGCTGGCCCTTCACAGGGATCGTCAGCTCCAAAGAATCTGCGATCCCATCTCCGCCCTCTGCATTGATCACAATGCGCGCTTCGCCCACCTCCTGTGCTGTGAACTCAAAACGTGCTTCAACCTGGTTGTCAGAATCCAATTTGACACTCATCGTATCTTCTCCTGTGAGTACTACAGCCTCACCCTTTGTGCCTCCATCCAGTTGCAGCCGGATTTCATCTCCCTCCTTTCCTCCAACAACAGTGACAATCACACCTGCTTCAAATTTGTCATTGACCCGAACAAAGCGAGGAGCTGATGGTGTCAACGACAAGGCCTTGCGGACAATGAGCTTGGCCTCCCCACTACCAAACAGCCCAGTTCCTGATGTTGCATATCCCCGGACTACAAAAGTTCCCAAATTATCAGGTGCCTCAAACTCCACATTTGCCAGGCCGCTCTCGTCGCTGACCACTGTTGCAAACAACGGTGTGGACACAAATTCTGCCTGGATCCGCACATCCCCTGGTCCAGCTTCTGCAGCTGCGCCCAGGGCCTCTGCTCTGGGTGTCGTTGTCTCTGGCTCCACATCAGCTTCATCATCTGCCAGCACCACTGGCACTTCAGGCCTCAGTGTGATGAACTTAGCCCTGCTAGCCAGAAACTTTTCATCCGATTTGTCAAGGTCTGTTGTCAGGAAAGAAGGAGTTAGGTCCCTCACTGGATCTGACCAAGGATCGAGCTCCTGGTGTCGGGTAAAGCCTTCCAGCAGTTCCGTCACTGCACCAGGCGCGATAAGCCTTCCAGCAGTTCCGTCACTGCACCAGGCGCGATAAGGAATTTCGAGGTGGATTCGTGGTTGAAACTGGCGGCCAGATCCAGCAAGAATTCGCTGGAAAGGCTCTTTAAAGGCATCGGCACTACATCGAGAACTGCCTGGTCAACTGCGATGATGGTCACCTCTGAAACTGTTGACAGAGGCGGGCAGTCCTGCAGCTCTTCAAGACCACGGCAGTCGGACAGCTCCAGGGTGATGTTGGTCTTGCTGCGCGGAGCCACCACGATCTCGCCACCATCTTGTGCGCCAGGGAATGCTATGGCCACGGAAATGTTACGATCTTGTTCAACCGTCACAGACTCGCTGAATTCCACAGTGTGGGGTGCAGTGGCATCAAATAGCTTGCTGACAGGCACAATCACATTGAAATTCCCTTGTCTGGGAACAGCAACCACAACTGACAGTCCACAATTTCCACTGCAGTCATCATCCACCTCGAATGTGAGGGGCACAAGTGCCTTGTTGTCCAGCCGCTGAATGCGCTGCCTCCTCTCCCCAGCAGTGGATCCCCAAGACATGAGCGCGTGCGCATTCTCAAAAGGATTCTCCAACAAGAAAGTGATTTCCTCCCCAACCCTCGCAACTTCTGCTCCTTTTCTCACCAGTCCGACTGGGGGATGCGCAATTAATGGCCTTTCGAACCAAGATTTTTGTGTTCTGCCAAGGAAGTCGCGATGGCAGACTTGTTGGGTCGTGTCCTCAATGTCAATGCAAACTTCGATCGCAAAGAGTCCCACACCAGGGAGCACCATACGACAGGTTTCGAAGCCGGACGAGTTGCATCTGATCATCACCTCTCCATCCAATGGCCGCAACGATATTGGTTCCCTCTTTCTCACAGCCTCACTTCCAACACTGACAGACTTGAGCACTGGCACACCCTGGGCAGATTCAAGCTTCACACCATCAAGTGTGGATACGGCTGCCCTCACACCAAACTCCTGGCCAGGAAAATCTGTGGATACCGTCCTCTCGATGTCCACCGCCAAATTTGCAAGCTCCAGCTTGACAAAAGCCTTCTTTTCAATCACTTCCCTTGTTGGGCCAACCCACTGAACAGTTACATCCAGAATGGTCCCTGGTGGGGGCAGCTCCTCAAAGCTGATTATGGGGGAGGCGACACCAGTCTCGTTTGTTGTGAACTCCAGCTCCCCAGTCAACAGTTCGTTTCCAGGTGTTGGCTCCTTCTTGCTGTCGAAGACGCCCCACCTCAGGGTCATCGATGCATCGCTTACAGCAGCCCCAATGAAGCTGACAGCCTCCACTTGGACTTGTACACCTGCCTCCGGAGACGCCCAGAATGGTGCAGTGAGTGACAGATCCACAGTGGGAGGCCTGGGATCGCCAACCCTGAAAACGTCAGAGGGCCGTGGCGCAGCCCCACCAGGAGGTCCATATTCCACACGATAGTTTGTCAGTGGTGCATCCTCTGGGATGGGAATGTCCACCTCGAAAGTCCCAAATCGATCATCAACCTGAACATCGATGACGTCCTCCAGTTTCAGACTCTCTGACTGGTTGAACGGCGGTATGATTGACAGAGTGGATGCGCGGACACTGGACGCAGAGAGGCTGGACCCATTCTGTTCCATAACGTAGCCCTTCACATGCAGTGTCTCGCCCGGTCTCACCAGCTTCCGATCCAAAACAAGAGATGCCCGTGTCTGGTTTGTGGCATGCTCATCGATGTTGACCCGTGGGAGGAACAGGTACTTCCCATTGCGCTTGACTACAACCAGCACACGCTCATGCTCAATAGGGATGATGGCAAGACCTTCAGCATCCGTGGTTGCATTTCCAAGCAACGCCCTGTCAGATTGGCCACTTGGGGTTGAGAATACAAGTACCTCCACGCCCTCCACAGGGGTCCCATCACTCATCGACGTCACCCACACAGTCGCTTCTCCGCTCCCATCAATCAATCCCGCGGAAACGATGGACACCTGAACGTCAGTTTCGGCCATAACCTGCTTGTCGTACATGCCACTACGGCAAGTCTCATGGAGCAGCAATCCTGTTGCCTCGAAAAGCTCAGGTACTCTTGGTGCCTCAACAACCAAGCCCGACTCCTGCACGTCAACCTTAAAAGGCATGTCTGCCTCGCCAAACGCTTCCTTGACTGAGCCACCAGTGGGAAGTTGCAAAACATCAAGCACGGCGTTGATGTCATCCTCCTCGATTTTGAATATGTCAAGCTCCGGGGCGCCACACACACCAATGAAAGAAGCTGGAAATGGGCCCCTGCCAATGGTGACCACCTCCTTCGTCCAGTCTTGGTGGTCCCTTTCGAAATAGGCCAGCGGAGGCGTCGCACGGGTCATCAACGGGAAAAAGAACGGCTCTGGCGCAGCGCCGTCGAAATCGATACCGGAGGGCAAGAGGGGCTGCCCGTACCGGTCGACGACTGGCAGGTCCGCAGGAATGGACAGCTGGTACACACTCAGAGGCTGCAGCCCGGACGCGTTCAGCCTCAGGGTACCGTCGTTCGGCAGCTCCAGCGTGAAGTTCACGGACTGGCCCTCGCTCGTCAGGACCATGCCGCTTCGAAGCACCTCCAGCGCCTCTTCGGGGCTTTCCAGCCCATGCGGCAGCCACATGTCCAGCACAGGAGAGCTAATGTTCACCGCCTCCGCCACAAAGGGTATCCTGAACGGCCGGAGACCCGCGAAGCGCACCTCCCGGGCCTGCCGCAGCCTCCCCGCGCCCTCCCTCCGGGTGTAAGCGGCGCCCTCCTCCAGGAACAGCGCGTACAACGTGTCCGCCTGGATCTCGCCATCGATTCTGACGACCGCGCACGTCGTCTCTTCGGTCGCCAATCCGCCGCTCTCGCCGTCTTCGGGGGACGAGGGCGCGTTCCCGCAGGGCTGCACCACGGCCTTGAGGCCAGGCGAGTCGCCGCCGGGCCCCGTCGCCCCGGCTTCCTGCCCCCCCACCCTCTTCACCTTCAAGTTCGCATCCAGAAGCTCCAGGGCCACCTCGTGCGAGAACTCCAGCTCGATCACCCCGTCGGGCGGCACCTCCGGTAGCTTATCGCCCTCCCGGCCCACGGACGCGTCCCACAGGCCGCTGGTGAAGCTCTTGGCCTCCTCCGACGACACTTTTCGGACGGACATATCCAGGCTGTCCGTCAGCAGGACCACCGGCTCGGGATCACCGAGGGACAGGCCCACGCCGTCGAACGTCGTCAGTTCCTCGTTCAGCTGGAACTCCACTTCCAGGTCGGAGGGCCATCCGCCCTCGGGGTCGAACCTGGCGATGTACGTCGTCACCCACCAAAGGCGCCCCTCCACCGCAGGTCTCAACGTGAACGGCGTGCGATTCGCTGGAAGGCCGAACTCCTCAAAGCCTGCTCCGAGGGGGACCACGGAGCGCGAGTAGACAACCGTCAGGGGCTGCGAGCCGCTGATCGCGATCGGGCCCGCCGGCTTCGCCAGGTCTCCCGGCGTCGTCAGCGTGATCTCCAAACCCAGACTGTCGGCCAAGAGACTCTCGGGGACGTCGCTCTCCGGCGCTCCCGCGCCGTCCTGAAGGAGGTCCCGCCCGCCGCAGGCGACAAGGAGCGCGGCAAGCAACGACGCTAAGGCCCAGCCCTTGGCGGTGGTCCCCGCCATCTGGCCTCCCTGCAGCTTCCAAGCCGGTGGGCCGCGCGGCAGGCCCCGGAAAACAGTCTCGATAGCCTTGGATCCGCGGTCCGCGACTGGAGCCGTTCCCTTTGGAGTGCAGAGCCGGTCGACAGGCGGAGAGCGCGATTTCGAGGGCTGCCGGCGGCACGAGGGCAGCCGCACCCAGGGCAGGCGCTGGCTGGCTGGGAGCGCAGTGAAACAAAATGGAAATTGCGCCGGCCTTGGTGACCCAATCGGAAAGAACGATGTGACACCATGACGCAGTTTGGCGGACGCGGAAGCTGCCATGCATCACGGCATATTCCCCCCTCCCGGCAGTGTTCGACTGCGGGAGGGACCTGACCACCAGGTTGATTAGGTGGCCGTGTCAAATTTAAGGGTGGGGGCGTTCGCATTTGACACGCATTTGCCTCGTGATGGGGGGCGCCCCTTGGTGATGGCCCGCGATACGACCACGGCGCTCGCATAGGCTGGAGGCATGGAGCCGCCAGGCGGCCAGCGGCAGGGGCAGCAGTAACGGAAAAGCAGAAGTGAAGGGCTCCATCGCGTCAATCACGGGAGCACAAGGTGAATGGCGGTCTTCGCGCAACCCACACGGAGGCTGCCTGCCGATGGGGGACGCTGTCCTGAAGCAAATTATCAGGCCTTGGTTCCCTGTGAAACTCCTGCCTGGAGTTCACAGCCCTCGCGTTCGAACGCAGCCTCTGGACCAGTTCGCCAAAGAGAACGGCTGCTGGATACAGATCTGTCTGTCGGCGGTGCCCAAAGCGTCTGGCGCACACACAGAGCCCACACGCGTCTCCCTGATCGTAAACTCACGAACTAAAGTGGATGGCATGGGCAGTGTTTATGCATGGCATTGCATGGCATTCGACAAACTAGGATCGCCAATATAACGGCAGAAATATCTGTGTGGAACTGTGCAACTGAAACGTATGCGATGCGATAGTCCCAGACGGCGGCCTTGTTTAACAAGCATTTAGCGTGATATGCTATTTACCATCTTTGAGTGCCGGATTGCGAACAATAGCGGGAGCTAAGGGCGTCTGCCAAGTGGTGGTTGTAATCGCCAATGCAAAATCTGGTGGCGGATCTTCAGGGAGAACGCAAAGTACTGGCAGCCCGCTACTATGCTTGGTCCTTCCTCCAAAATCGTCTGATTGCCTTACCATGATATGCAAAAGCCGTCTTGTACCATTAACATTCATCGTTACTTGTTGCTGAGGCAAAGCACGCGCTTGCAGATCTGCAATTGTGGGCTCAAATTTGAGCTGAGCATTGTCCGCACAGTCTTAGTCATACCTCAATATTGACCATATCATATCTAATGATTGGAACGTACTAATATGTAGCCTTTGTAATAACCCACCTGCGAAGGACTGTGCCCTTAAAAATTTTGATCATTCTTACTATTTTGGGAATGGGCGGCAAACCTACGGCAAACCGATTTCTGCTGGTCCCAAAAGTCCGCGTCGTATTTTACCGTGGAACGTTGCAATAGACATTATGCACATAACGATAAATATGGCAAGCCAGGGAACGAGAGAAAGGTGTCCTAAGAACCAGCAACGAACGACAGGAAATCGAAGATTCTTGCGTTAACGGGAGGCACTATTTTGATTTTGGTACGCCGAGTGTCAAATTGATGTTAAGAGGGGAGGTAGCCAGCCATTGACGCTAAGAGATTATGCAATTGCACTAAAATCAAAATAGGATGGGAAGGCGTAACAAAACGCCGTTTATCGGTGGCAAATAGCTCATAAATTGTTGTAAGACCTCGCTCAGAACTTTATGTCTTCCAGGATGCCCCCATAAGGGATCAACTTTCAGGTTTTGGGGCTGCTGTCACCGCCTATAGTGGCTTTTGGCATCCAAATTTTCAAATCCCTGCAATCGCTACACTTTCGGTCGCTTTTCCCTTAAAACTATTTTGGATATATACAGCATTGTTAAGTAATGATCTTTAGTCCACCTGGAATATAAATAAGAATTGATACTGAGGAGGGGGAGGTGTGGGGACTTAACGTCAAAATGACGATAGGCGTAACAAAATCAAAATAGTATCTTCTCTAAAAACAATGTCATAAATCGGACATTGTCCCACACAAAAATGCGCCGCAATCATGCAAACAGATCCTTATATTGGAGACACTTCTGTTCACTGTTCGTCTAAGTCAAGGCATTCAGTCAAGCTGCTGAATTGCCATTTTTCTTGATCGTAAGCAAAGAACAGATGGACAAGCGGCAGCGCCACTCCACGAGAAAAAGGCGGCCAAACCAATTTTTCCACGCACAATATCCTCAAAAATCCGCATGCTGGCGAACGGCGATGCGTATTTCTGCTCGAAAGTTGAAGGAAACCAGTTTTGTGCAGCTCTGCCATTATTTCTTGAATAAGCAGGCACGTCGACAGGTTTGCATAGCCACAGACAACCTTGAACTTCGCTCCTTTGTTTCGCTCCTCGCGTTCACATTCCTTTGACCATGTCCCCATACACTCAGCTGGCACATGCAAGACTCCCGCGCAGCCTGAATACTGCAGCTGCCACAAAAACAAAGAGCAAAAGCGAAAAACAGGAATACAGTACTGAGTGAATGGGGCAACCCTATGGGAAGCTATCGACTACATCTGAATTCGGTATGAATTGGCTGAGCATAGTAAAAGTCATTAGAATCAGGCGTGGGACGTTGAAGAGCATATTGAGGTTCAGTAGACGGGCCTGAGAACAGCTTGCACTGGTAGAAAACAGCCTGTTTGCGATGCCAGCTGCGATGCCATTTTGACACAAATTGATACCGTCACAGTGAGTGCGATGGCATGAAAGGGGCTGTGATGTCATCAATTTGTGTCGAAATGGCATCGCGGTTGGCATCGCAAACAGGCTGTTTTCTACTGGTGTTGGTTGCGACGATGAATGCATGCGCTTTGGCGCACACATGGCCTGCAGAATGCTGGCCATTATGCGCTGAGTCAACAGATAGCCACAGACGGTCGGTGCACCCATTCTACATTCTCGATTGCACAACATGGGGCACAACATACACCAGGATGAGTGCAACGTTCGTCCGGCAGTGTGCGCTGTATTTCGCCCGCGTCGCGATTGCGAGGGATATTTCGTCATCTTCTGGATCCTGTAAGGAGGTTTTCAATATCAGCTGCAGTCATGGCCGACCGACGTCATTCGAATAACACGGTGTTTCCGGTCCTCCTCCTGCCCATCTTGTCCGTCATCCTGTCTTCCTCTCAGCAACTGCTACTGGCCTTGTGACCTGGTTGTGCCTCGTTAGTTTGCGAGGAGCGATGGCGATGAAGGGTGAGGAAGTGTGTGAGGAGGACGGCAAGCAATCAGTGCCGAGATATTGTAACCGTGCGCCACCAGAACCAGCAGCAACAGGAGCCCAATGGCGGTCACAAAGAGGACGAGGCGCGCATTTCTACAGTGGGCCAGCAGTCACCTGTTGCCGGCTGGCCAGTTGCTCAAACGACCGAAAGAGTACGCGGCTCTGTGCCGCTCGCTTGTTCATGAATGTCACTGGACATGCAGCAAATCAATAGAAATGTTGACTTACAGTCTTCTACATAACTACGAAAGCCGTGCAATAGCCTGATCTGCACTACAAGTGCTTTTAAATAACCAATAACTGCTGCGCCACAGATCCTGAGCATCCCCCTCAGAAATCTTCGTCTGTAGTAAACACATACTGACGGTTGGTACGCGATCCACGCAGAGAGGACATGATGCCCGCTTGCTGATATTCGCTGACTCGGCGCTCAAAGAAATTCGTCTTGCCTTGCAGCGATATCATTTCCATCCAATCAAACGGATTGGAGGAGCCATACAGCTTTTCACAGCCCAAGGCTACCAGCAGCCTATCGGCAACGAACTCAATGTACAGAGACATCAGCGAAGCATTCATCCCAACCAGCGCAACACTCAGTGCCTCACAGCAAAACTCCTTCTCCAAATCAACTGCCTCCTTGACGATGCACTGCACGGTGTGCTCGCACAGCTTCTCGCTCAGTAGACCATACAGCACGCAGGCGAAGTCTGTGTGCAGCCCTTCGTCTCTGGAGATCAGCTCGTTTGAAAAAGTCAAGCCTGGCATGAGGCCACGCTTCTTGAGCCAGAAGATGGCACAAAAGCTCCCTGAGAAATGGACGCCTTCCACACAGGCGAAAGCCACAAGCCTCTTTGCAAATGAATTGGATGACTGAATCCAATTTATGGCCCAGTCGGCCTTCTTCTTCACACACGGCATCGTGTGAATTGCACGGAAGAGATGGTCACGCTGTTCCGGTTCTTTGACGTATGCATCCAACAGCAAACTGTACATCTCGCTGTGAATGTTCTCCATTGCGATCTGGAAGCCATAAAATGCTCGCGCCTCGGGGATCTGAACATCTGAAAAGCACAGCATTCCCTTCAGTGCATTTCACACGGGATCCATCAATGGTTTGCGAATTGCACAAGTACAATGCAGAGACAGCATCTGTGCCGTCCAGACATTGTTCGCCAAAACATCAAAATTACAACCGAGGACGAGCTTTGGCTGCAAACTCCTGCCATTTTCAGCCTCATTCAAAACACGCTGCCAGGAATATTGCATTGGGTTTCTGTAGCATGGTGCCCCCACCCAGTCCCACTCGTTAACTTGTAGCAAACCGAGAGGCTTGCACAGAACGCCGCTGGTCAAACGCGCCACGATTCAGCTGAAGTACGGTCCCAAGGGGTAAAACGACAATCCGCTCAAACACAACAACACGACAGAAACCATGCCAACAGTTCCTGTGCAGAGGTCTGCAGCAGACATTGGGCTCATGGTACAATCACCCAACGTACCCTGCAGAAAATGCACAGCCAGATTCTCCAACACAATGCCATCTGATGCCGCAAAGAAGGCAAGGACTGTGGTGATGAACCTGCGTTCGTCGTCTGCATGCAGCAAAATGACAACCTGTCAGCCCAATCTCCATGCACCTGTAAACTTCAGGACAGCGTCCACAGTAAAATCCTGCCACGGCTTGCTGTTAGGTGCACATTCCAGCTGGTTCTTGCACTGCACTTGTGTGGGAGTGGGCGACTCGTGTCGAAGCAGCTTTGTCTACCATGTGCACAGTTTTTATCGTTCACCTGTAAGTGAAACCCAGTCGTGGATGTCCTGGGAAAGGTCCACTTCCTCCGTCGTCCAAAAACTGGCAACCTGTTTCTTGTACATCTCCCAAATGTCAGGGTGCCTGCAAACAGAAACGTCTGAATTACATAGCCTCTTCTTAGAAAGGAATGATCCTCATCACAGTGGCAGGGCACAAAGTCTACGTACATTTGCCAGGCCACTGGGGTCCCTCCACATCGACTGAAAGAGACAGCATTAGGCTGTGATACAAATGGTGCCCATTATTTTCTACAACCCCACACATTGCATGAAAGTTTAACTGCTGCTTCCCTCCTACAAGAAGAGAGGAGGCCTTCTGCATCCTCACAAGAAATGCAAAACAATGCGATACCCAACAGATTGGTTGTATCAAACCAATTGCACCATCTCAAAGAAGAGAGCTTCAGCACTACAGGGGGGACTTGGCCAACAAGAAATCACAGCAAAACAGCAATGCTTTGTTTGTTCTGACGATTCAAAATTCAGAGAACTGGACCCCTCATAGCAGCCACAACAGTGCCTGTGCAGTGGAACAAGGAAATAATGCATACTTTCAGTGGATCATGAAATCCCACCAGTCAATGCCCCATAAGTCAACGTCCGTAGGTGTATTGTGCAAACGGTGTTTAAACGACTGACCTTATGGGGAACATGCAGAACCTGTCTTTGTTCTCCATCAACAGCGGCTCAACCCCATCTTTGTCATTCAAAGATGTTGCACTGTCGTTTGTGTCTTTGTTGGGTTTCACAGGTTTGGTGCAATCAAGAATCTCCTGGCCGAACCTGCAGCAGCAAACATTGTCAAAGAATGGCCTGCACTTATTGCAAAAGAAAGCCCACAATGGCAATGTAGTTGTGCTGCATATCTTCAATACAATGAAAATGCCCGCGCATGTACTCATCTCCATTCTACTGCAGTACAACCATTGTTGCAGAACACAGCCCATCACTCTGTTTCCCGTGGAATGTGTGGAGGGAACTTTCTCACCCCTCGTCGCTGGTGGATGCCTTGCCTTCTTTTAAATTCTCAACAAAGGCCCCTTCGTCCCTTGCCAGGTAGCAATCCACTACTGGAGTGTTGGTGACTCCCTTCAAGACATCATCGGTGCTGCAAGCAACAATTTGTAAAAATGCAGTAAGTCAAATCCTGGAGGTAGTCAGTTGCGCACTGTTTGCGCAGTTCAACAAATGACTTGAGTCCATTTTAAAACAACAAACTGCGCAATGCCACAGACAACAATAGAGAATTACAGGCAGGAAATAACAGCAAGATGAATTCAGAACCTACTGCTGCAGCAAAAATATGATCCGTGAGGAGCATTCAAGTGAAGATGGATGTACTATGACTGCAATGGAAGAAAGAGAAAACAGATATGCAATGGCAATATATATGCAGTGGCAAACACAGGGGAGCAGAAACAGGAGCTTTGTTACATAGCCCCCTTGGAAAGTTTGTCATATATGGTGTGCTTCAGTTCTACATGCCATCTTCAGCCAAAAGCCATTGTATGACACTGCGTTGTAGGCGCACAGGCACCCACACTAGCAGATGCCCAATGCTGGTGATCTGTTTTACAGTAAGTCTGGCAAGCACTCTAGGCAGACAGATCCCATGCCACAGGATAAAGGTATTCAAATGCTGGAGAAAAATGGTGCACCAAGAGTGGTTACAGCTTCTTCATCCATAGGTCCTTTCTTGACCCATGTTAAAGTGTTGATTCCCTCACCAATTTAACACATTGACTGAAATATTTACCTTGTGTGTGACAACTAATACAAATTGGCCTTTTTGGTCTTGGAGAGGGGCCTGCAGTGTTTAACAATCGCTCTGACCACCCTTCAGCAAGGTGTACATTGCACTCCACTAACAAGTGGGAAGCACTACAGCCATGCAATCTAGGAGGTTGCAAGGCGAGCTATAATGGCAACGTGTTTGGCAACCCAATTATTGTGCCTTCCACTGCGGATTGCAGCACCAATTCCCTGAATATCTGGAAGACAGGAGTCAGACATGCTCCCAACTGCAGCATCGAGGTGGAGCACATGCAGCTTTAGGAGAGTGGTGGTGGCAGCATTTCGCCGACACAATATGGACTCCAATACTTAAAAAGCGCGTCTGCTGGTGGGACACATCATGGCTACTTTTGAACGGGCCCCCAAGTACAACGTTTTGGTTTTAGGCCCCATCAAAGCTGGACAATTACAAAGTGGCCATCATGAAACGTTTGCTGCAGCATTCAAGCAAATCCTGGTGGTGCAGACTCTGGTGAAAGCGGCATCACTGGATTTGCCATACTGCTGATAATTTCTCGACCAATGAGCGACTTGCAATTGTGCTTTACTATTGTGTGGCAATGTGGTCACCACGCCACCAATGTACGACTGATGGCGGCTCGCAACTTCCCCCTGGAACGGCTGCCAGCCGCTACTGTGGGTCACCGGGATCGGCAAACAGAGCTTCATTCTTGAGGCGTCCAAAGCAAGCGTTCGGCGTCGCTTCCCGGCGTCTGCGCTACGGAGTTCTTGGAAGATGGGGCCACTTGTCAAAATGCCGCGTTCGCACAAAGCAGGCCCCCTCCTGTCCAAAGGAAACAACCCGCCGCTGGCAACGTCGAACGCTACGTCGTGGTAGGCGTCCGTGTCAACACAATCCAAATGTCTGGCTAGTGCGACCTTGATGACCGTCGCAGCGCGGGTGCACACGCCAGCGACGCAATGTCCGCCATTGGCGCCATCAGTACCTCAGCGCGTCTCCCAATGCACCGGTCGGTGGCGACATGAGCGGGAGACTCGCCCACGTGCCGTCGCCAGTCACAGTATCTCAAGCGGAGACCGTTTGGCGGCTGGCAATCCACACAAAGTCCAGCTGGACTGGGCACCGTGAGCCCAAACGTCCTTCCTGGAAAAGAATTCGAAGCGTGGTATGCAGCGGCTTTGGCGCTTCCCTTTCTAACGCTGCCTGCCGCGTCTGCGCAGCCGCGACAAGAACCTGCCGCCAGGGGGTGCGCCTCCTCGCCAACAGCAGCGAGCAAAGGACACCCCTGCCTGCACCCCTTCCCATAAGGACGCAATGTACTGTCGTGCGCCAACCTGAACTGCGCTACAGTACTGTGCACCGATGAACCTGGCGGAGAGCCGATGCCACAGTCAATTCTGGCATCGAAAACTTTCATCAGAGCCCTGATGCAGCGGAGACCACGGAATCGCGACCAGGGACAAGGCAGCCGACATCGGGAAGATCTTCCCTTCTTCAAAATGAGGAGGGGTGTATGTAGTGACCTCCTCTCACGAACTCTGTGCGGCCCTGTCCCGCAATCGTCATATGACGTGTGGATCCGATTGGAGCAACCCGCAGTCTGCACTGGTCGCCCAGCGGGCTTCGATTTTCGTGCTCTTTCAATTGGCTAAACCGCTCTGCGCAGCGTGAACGGCGCGCATGCTGCTCCAGCCATGCTGGTGGGTCTGAGTCCTGCCGAACCGTGACGCTTGTAAACAGGAATGGCGAGGCCGCCTTCATCATTTAATGATCGCTAATGAGCACTAACGATCACCAGTAGTGAAGCGCCTGGTTGTGTTCCTATCCTCGTCAGGGCCCACGCAGCTTTTTTTACCCCTGACGAGGACACAGGTTTTGTTGGCCGCTGGGCAGATAAGTACTCCTGCGATCCGCATCTGTTGCTCCACCCCGTCTGCTCTGCCTCACGCTGCGTCCCCCCGGCCCCACTACCCGCCCACCCACCTGCTTCCCTCTTCGCGCCGGTCGTGGAGTTGATGCAGTCGAGCAACGCGGCGTCTGCCTGCGGGCAGGCCACCAGGGCCGCCTTGCAGCCGAGTCGACTGCCGGTTTTCCGACCCGACCGGCGCCCACAGCCGATCGCATGCGAAGCGCAATCTTCCGGGAAAAGCGAGGTGGGGCCATGGCTGACGACTGTGCGCGGATCCAGCTGGCGGCGCGGATCGGCGGTTGTTTTTCTTGCGTGCCGGTCAAGAATCTGTGAATTGAATTGAATTGAATGGCGACGTCCCCCAACCCAAGGGGGGGCCATGGGTCCGCTTGTCCTTGGGGGCCGCGATGCGGGCGCATCTCACGACAAGGATTCCTGTGGTGGGCGCTTGGCAGGTAGAAGCCGACGTTGTGGGACGTGTCGGCAAATGCGTCGTTGGGTTGCTGAGCGCTGCCGCCCTGTCCCTGCCAATGGCTTTCAACCCGGTGGAGGTAAGATGCCCACTAGGCTGCCGTCGTCGTCCCGGCATCGCCTATTAAGTTCAAGAGCGGTGATTGGCAGCGTTTCGACAGGCGTATGCGTTGAAGATGACGGTCCTCCCTGGGGGATCCAGAGCATATGCATGTGGTTCTGTTGGATGGCAGCATTGCATGGTGGTGATTCTGTGCAGCCCCGCAGCTGAGCGATGCCTCCGCGTATGGCTGTTTCTTGCCGTTCGAATCTGAAGACTGTGGTTACATGTGCCTGCACAGTATAAAGTAATGCTGGGCCATGTGCACATCCAAGACACAGGCTGGTTCCCTATTGATGATGGCGGTGTGACCTGTTGGATGGCAGGTTGTTGTACCTCATCCTGCAGAGGCGGGCCTGCTGGCTGGTGATCCCATCAAGAACGCGAGGGCCATCCTGAGGTATGCCCTGCCAATCGACAACAAGGAAATCAGACAAGTGCAGGTGGGCTGATTGTGCCGTCATTGGTTTTGGGATATGGGTTTGGAGACACACTGCCTGTACCTTCGTCATTTGATCAATGCTCACATTTTGTAGAAGCTACTACAGCCTAATTGAGCATGGTTTGAAGCCATTGACACTCACCAATCCCTATTTGGGCAGCCTCCCTTGGCCTGCTCCACACTGGTTGACATTAGCCTTTGGTAAGATTGTTTGTGAGTGCTATTCAATGAAAGGAAATTTCAGAAAGTGAAAGAACAGATGATTGTGGAGAACAGATTTGTTGCAATTATCTTGCGTGCAAGGGATTCGGTTTGCCATTGAATGAGAAAAATGATCAAGGCAGGTTCCACTGCTTGGCAGTTGATGCTGTGGCTGTGTTGGGGGCTGAAAGTCTACAATGGTGTTGCAAGACATGGTGTACAGCACAACACCTTCCAATTTCCCAGCAACGAAAAAGTGGTTATCCAGGAATCGATGTGCTAATCGTTTCCAGCATTCTTGGCAAATTGTCTCAAATTTTCCACTGGAGCCAGCAACTTTGTATTCCAGGCTAAGAGCATTCCGTGCACCAACAGAAAATATTGTAACTCATACAATGACGGTCCCTCCTTAGAAGAAATTGTGAAGTGAAAGCTGCAAGCCAAAGCTTGGTACATTGAGGGACTTCCAAAAATTCATGTAAGCCAACATGCAGCTGACCCATGTAGAAATAAGGCATGCCGATGACATCGAGTTTCCCAAATTCAGCATCGAGTTTCTGGCGTGACAGGATGATTGGCTGTGGTGTGCCATCTCAAACAAGTTGCTGGTTGAGAATCAGTTTTTTTCCCCCCTTGACTTCGAACTTGTACCAATTCAGGCCAATAATTACTTCAAGCTACACAACACTGTATTGTTTGCAGTGAATGCTGTGTGCTTGTTCCAGAATGGCTGTGAATCGAGTGCTAGACTTTGCATGTTGGTGACAAAAAGTGTTGATCGCGTTCATTTGGATCTGCAGTTGTGTGCAAAAAGATTTCGGCGGTCCTGTTGAAAGAACAGTCGTATGTGCACCCCCCTTTCAGCTCCGGTGAGATCCAGAGCAACCTGATATTATGTCTACAGCATATTGATCTACAATCAAGAACGTACGACGCGAAGACTCGGAGATCTGGGCCCCCCACCTTGTCGAATTCGTCGAGATCCCCCTCCAGGGGCGCGTTGGCCCGCACGCTGTACGCCGCGTTGTTCACCAGCACGTCCACCGTCCTGCACCTGGTCACCGCACAGCGCAGATCGCACAGATCATCCATCACATGTGTCCCCTCTCACCCCGCTGGGAACGCTCTGCTCCTCGTTCGTTTTACGCAGCCCTGCGCTTGCCACTTCTTGTCTCGGGACTCCCTACTATGGCGCCTAAAACATTAACGGAAAGGGGGGATCCGCCACGTCGCTTTGCAATGACATCCTCCCTCTCGCCCCGCGCTTCCACCGCGGCACACTAGTCCATTCGCAGCGTTCATTCCGCACGATCACTTCAGGTCGGCAGGCGCAAAAAGGGCCAAGGCCATGGCGCTGCGCGAAAACGACGCAGAGCGCGCTTGTGTGATGACCGAGTTTGCCCACGAATTTCCTGCATAGCCGTCATTGCGAGTTGTTGCCGCTGGGATGCGAGGCTCGACCATGAACGCGATCACTTCACATCCACAGGCGAAGAAAGAGCCGCAGTGTCCAAAGACACCAGCCACAAGGCTCCCAGCCTGTGCTGCTGATTTCTGGCCTGGGGCTGCTGTCAGCAGTCATGGCATTGTTCTTGTGCTTCTGCCTTTTGGGTTGCTCATGAAATTTGTGACTGTGCAGAAAGGCTTGGAGGACATCAGTGAGGGGCTGCGTGTTCCAGGAAGCAAGGCATTCCCCATTGTCATGAAGGTCAGCTAGATGCTGAGGACAAAAAATGGACTGCATTGCAGGCCTCTGTGGGGATGAAATTGAGCATTCACTTCAATTGAGCCTTCAACTTGTTCAACAGCTCAGCGACATTGGCATTTATGTTGGCAGCAGTGTGCACTGATGGGTTGTCATCTTGATGTCCAGACCAAAGGTTGCCTGAAGCACACTGCGCGTTCAGCTGCTGTCCTTGTGCAGGCTGAGAAAACATGGACAGCTGTGAGCCAATGGATTATTCGAAGGGCACTTTGTGCTGCAGCAATTTGAGAATTGGACATGCAACAGTGGCATTTGTATCAATAAGAACTGTGGCTTGCATGTTGTCAAGCATTCTGTGCAAGCGACAAGGCGGAAATGGAGATATTCTGTTGATGCTTCTGCAACCTATTCAATCATTTGATATGTGCATCTTGATTCCTTGCTGTGAATAGGCTGCTCGTGGCAGTGCCAGCGCTTTGGACCGGGGCAAGGACAAGATTGTTGCGAGCTTGCCGCCCAACCAAAAGGTATGGATAGCAATTTCATTTCGACTTGCTCTCCTGCTCTGATCATTGGGTATGGCACCTCTGCTGCTGTGGCTGAATCATCAGAGGTTGTCTTGTTTTTGTGCAGCAACCAGCCCAGTATCTCATTTGGTCCATGCATCGCATGCATGACTTGCTTCGTGGATTCCTTTGCTTGCCACCTTGAAGCACAGCTTGTAGATCGTACCGCTTCTATGTAACAATAGCTGCTCATGCATTGGAAGGCAATGATATTGCATGCTTTTGCGAGTGGTGATGCTGGGAGGTCACTTCAATGTTTGGTCAGATATCCAAATGGCATAAAGTTTGTGGTCAATCTGACTGCACCCCAGAGCATTGGGTTTCTCCCCAATGAATAGGGGCTATGACCGATCACCTCAGTGCTGATCAAATCCTTTGCCTTGCAAGTATCTCATTTGCTCCTGTACGTGTGTTGCAGGCTACCGGCTTGGGCGAACTCGACAAACTCCAAAATGGTTTCCCTATCTTGTTCGATGCCATACAAGACAAAGACAAGGACGAGATTTTTGTGCAGCAGCAGGAGTTGCTGAACCATGTTGGCAACATCGAAGAGGCCATGGTGAAAGGGTTTCCATTTGAGGTGCCATCAGAGTACAACTACTTGCCACAACTGAAGGTGTGGACTTCTCTTGAGGCTGAATCATTTGGCCGTGTCGTGATCCAAGGTCAATAGGGCGGTGGTGCTTGCCTGCATACAAGTTTAGTGCATGGGGTTGCTTTTGGGAGTTCATTCCCTCGCACCATGCCTGTAGTAATTCCACAGCATGCCACAGAGTTGCGAAGATTTCTGCACCCATATTACGACCTGTCTTCTTCCCTACTTCAGAATGTGAGCACAGAACATGCTAAGACAAGATCGGAATCGCCTGGTATAAACTCCAGCCCTGCCTTGCACTTGTATGGAAACAAAACGATGCCGAACTTCCCAGGCCAACGAGCCGATCAGTTTGCGTAAATGCCTGGTATACTTGTGGTCATCAACATAGGTGCCCCAGACGGCAGCTGCCAAGAACCCCCACCCCACCCCACCCCCACCCCTGATGATCACCTTTCATCCCTTTCTCCGACCCGATTTTTTTCACCTTTCCTCACTCCGATTTTGACCCCTTTTTATCTTTATTTCGCCTCACGCCCCACCCGACGATGACCCCCACCCCCACCCACTTATCCATAAGATTAGTGCTTGGCTTGTGTGCAATTAGTGTTTTTGGTGCATGCAGGGGCGGGCTACACTGGAGATGAAGGTGTCCTTTAAAGATTCGCCCAAGGGAGACAAATCTGGAGTAATGACTCTTGTGTGCGATGGCTTGAGTGCTCCCGTGTCAGCTGGAAATTTTGTGGACCTCGTGCAGAAAAAATTTTACAACGGAATGGAAATTCAGCGAGCAGATGGTTTTGTCGTTCAAACTGGGAGACCTGACAAAGGGGACGGTTACGTGGGACCCTCTGGCGAAGTCCGAAGGTGACAGAATGTCCTGCAGGCCATAGCTGCTGTTGTTCTGTTGCTTGAACTTTGGAAAGTGCTCCATAGCAGGTGCCTGACGCTTCGTTTGGTTGCTGGCCCTCACGATTCATTGCACAATACATTGGAGTACGCGATTTCTCTTCTTTCATGCTGTCGCTCTGACGTCTGTTAGTCGGCTGCTGTCGCAACTTTGGCATCTTTCAGCTGCAGCTGCCGTTGCTCTCATCCAAGTCCATGTTCTGATGTCTGAGCGCTCGTTTCTGCATCTTTGTCAGAATCCCTCTGGAAATCCATGTCGAAGGGGACAAGGAGCCCATATATGAGCTCACGCTTGAGGACATTGGGCGATTCAACGAACAGCCACTCCTGCCCTTCAATGCTTATGGCACGATGGCGATGGCGCGCTCGGAATTTGAGAACAACTCTGCTTCCAGCCAAGTGTTCTTCTTGCTTAAAGAGTCTGAACTCACTCCCTCAAGTGCAAATCTGCTGGATGGGCGATATGCTGTGTTTGGGTACATCGTGGAGGGACAGGACTACCTTGGAGAAATGCATGTATGAGCCAGTCTTTCCCCAGTTGAATCTGCCTTGTTTATGACTTTGGTTGTAGTCCTCAGATCCGCTTCCAACATAGGAGTCTTTCACCATGTCAATGCAGCCTATGTTCTTTATTGGTGCTGTTCACTGTTTGTGGTAAACTTGTGATCCTGGCGTTGGCATTGATGCAACAGCAACAGCATTGTTTATGTCAGCATAATGCCCCATTGAAGATGCTCATGGCAACCTGCTCTCGTGTACACGAGTTCCAGTCTGCTAAGAGTAACTCTGTGCTGAACCCCTGTGGCAGTTCGTTTCATGTTCTGAGCCTGGTGTGCGAAAACACAGGTTGGTGACAAGATCGACTACATCAAAGTTTTGGACGGTGCTCAATTCCTGCAGCCAGGGAGCGGCCAGGCTCCTCAGGCCGAACCAGAGGCTTGATGCTCAGCATCTGCTCATAGCAAGGCTGGCATTCACGTGACAATGTCCCGCATCAGAGCACTACACATTGCCTTGCTAACAGCGATGGGGTCATCACCAATTTTGGATTTGTTTAAGTTTTACTCGTGCGGAAGATGAGCAAGCGGAGGACGCATGCTGTGGCTGTGGCTCATCTTTGCTGTAAATTTTGAGTCGATCACAGCAGAAGCTCCTCATGAACAGGTTTATGCCAAAAGGTGTGGATTCCCTCCCAGATTGCTGTTATTAGGTTGTTACAGCCAAGGGGCTGTTATACAGGTGGGTTTGTGCATGCTTTTATTCGTTCATTTGTAGCTGGTTGACAGCAACAACTTCAGATATTGCTTTACACAATTGCCGCGTGCAGCATGTGTGAAAAAGCTGCTTCATCAATTTCCCAGACCACCTCTACATTTGGTTTCTCACAGTGCCAATCGAACACACTCTGCCCGCGCGTCAACCTGCCACTCAATTCGACATCACAGCTTGCCCTCCGCGTCTGCAGAATACCTCCTTCGGTCAATGCTGCGAACACCGCCAGGGCATCGGCTGGTACCCACTGCAGATCCGTACTGCCCTTTTGGACGTTGTTTCTTATGGAAGCCAAGGCAATTTCCATGATCGCTGCACCACACGTCCACAAACCCATCCATGTCAACTGTTGGATAGGAACCGGGTGCTTGCAAAACCAATTGGAAGGTATCCTTTCCAAGTGTGGGCCTTATTGATGCATGCATTGAATTCAGTTTTCCAAAAGCGTGTTGACATGACAGCAGTGCCAAGTAATTGTGCCTGGGCTTGCAGTTACGCTATTGGAGTTTCAATGCACTTCAGGACGGGGGCATTACGACTTTCTAACTTGGTACAGTCTCCGCTTGAGGCGTCTGTCAAGATGCGGACGGCATTTCGCTTCAAGGAACTTTTCTAGCGTTTCAATGTTCACTGACCGACATTTTTGTGACATTCTTGCTGTGCGGAGCACGCAGTGGCGACTGTACTTGATAGGCAGCGAGATGCCGATTGAACCATAGGATGCGGTTCGGCAAGCACTGCTTGGCAAGTACTGTTCGGCAATCACTGTCAACTGACCCTTCATGAACCTTGCTTTCGCCGAATCTTGGTCCAGCCAGTTGTCGACCTTTTGCAACGCCCACTGGTGCGTTTTGGCGCAGTCCCACGTCACCAGGAACGTATTTTTGAACTTGTTCAGGACAATCGATGCAGCTTCGGGATCGCAGTGAAAATTGAACTCAGCAGTGGTGGTCCCGTTTCCTGCGTCCACAGCGCCGCCCACAGCGCAGAAGCTGTGCAGTCGATGCGGAAGCAGAGGGTCCAATTTGCCTGGAGCAAGAGGCACACTGACGTCAGACCCGGATTCACAGGATCAATAACGCAGGTCCGTTGCTGCTACCTCGCACCTGCTTTCAACGCCATGAAGGATAGCGGATTCTGCTCTTCAGCGGGTGCACCCTAAGCAACTGACAGACCGGATCAAGGCGCAGACATGACTAGTGGTGGAAATGAAAGAGTGTCACTGCGTCCGCTGGTAAGCGCACACAGGGAAAGCCTGCGGAAGCGCGTTCGCTTGTGAACGCACATGCCAGGGCGATGTTGGTGAGCGGACCCAGCCCAATCAAAACCAGGTGACCTGCATGTGAAAGCAGCGGCACAACGTTAACAAACGGCATCAACAGGCCCTGTGAATGCCAGAACGACGAAGAGATACGTTAAGAACAGGGACCGGAATTAGACGACGGCATTCATCCACACCCACGCAATCCACGGACCCCCCGGACGCAGATGGCACCCGAGTCTGACAACGCCACGACCAACTTCGGAATCCGAACAAAATTATCAACCTTCATGCTCCTTTGCCGCATTGACTAGATGAATGCTCGCATGAGCTCGCTGTCCTTGGGAGATGGCGGAAGGCTGGGCTCTGGGCGGCATCCTTGGGACATCTCCGAAACCATCCTCACCGCACCACGCATCGATTGGTGGTCGCGGCATGCACAGGGGCTCATCGGAGCCTGTGTATACAGGAATGTCGGATCTGCGACATGCAAACGGCCGGTGTGACTCCCGTGTCGACTGTGATGCATGGGTCCCAGCTGTGCACTTCGCGGAGTTGACACTGGGCTGCTTGGGCCAACCATTGCACTGCGCATGGGCATCGTTTTGGTGACTATCGGGGAAGGCAACCCGATCGAATATGATAGAGCGACCACATTCTAACATGCGACACTGCAAGCAAATCGAACATGTGCAAGGGGCGAAGTTTGCCCCGAGTCTTCATAACTGATGACACTGGGTGAAATAACTGGAACAAAAAAACTCATTGCAGCCAACAACATACTGCGCGCGTCAGCTGGGCGTATCAACCTCGCCACCAGGGCGAGTAGCAGATGCACCAGTTGGCATGTTGCCGTAAGGAGCGCCTGACATCCTCAGCAGTGTTTGTTCAATTCGTCTAAAGTGTGCCAACAAAATCGAACGAGAATAACGACCGTCTGAAAGTGCACGTGGGATATAGAACGTTGGCCGTCCGCGCACACACCTTCCGCAGAGCTTCAACATCCTTTCCACATTCACAGCAACTTGATCGACATCCTACAGGCACGATGCGGTGTTGCCATTGGTCAGTGGACATTTCGCGACATTCGGGTCAACTGTGCGCCTCAATCCGCAAGACGATTCCGCTGAAGATTAGGTCACATCCAGGCGCTCTCAGGATGCCAACCTGTGCAGACTAGGCCACGTCATGTTCCAGAGGCTTGTGCTGCTAATCGCACGGGTAGCCACAGCTACCACCGCTGGAATGCACTCGATACGACATCGGTGATGCCCAAGCGACGAAGAAAGGAACGAGCGGAATTTGGCACATCTGCTGCAGCAAATAACCATTCCGCTCGCCAAGGGCGGGCCACATGCGTACAAAACGTACAACAACTACTGCAAACAACCCGATACAGCTTGTTTTCTTACCCGTTGAGTGTTCCGTCAAAAACCGTGGGACTACAGAACCAACCATATTTCATTTCCCACAAAGACCATGGCACCACAATCAACCACAATGCGCAGAAATTGGAGGGCTCAAGCTGCCCCCTCTCACAGGTCCTATCGCCGCAGTGGAAAGTGTTGGCCGAGCTCTCGGCCTGCTGAGAGCCCTCAGGGCGCGTCAGTCGTAAGCGCACTGCCCATCCCAGGGTCAGGCTTACCGACCCTGGGAGTCAGGCCAGGTGTCCTCACCGTGTTTCCCCAAACACAGGAAATGCCGACAACATCCGCCAAGTTGGATGCCAGCGCCAAAAGAATACCTGCGAAGAACGAGGACTCGTTCAAGCCGGCCGCCGTAACACCGGACGTTGGCCACGCGATCCTTGCAGTTCAGCTTCCGAGAAGCCCTCTCCGTAGTGCATGACCCACCGTGCGCATCATCGACACCGGCGTCACAATCGATCCAAACTTTTCTGTCAGTCGCCATCCCACTTGCGCCCTGGCCACGCTCGCAGTGCGCCCGGCACTGCTTCGGAAGCCGATGGAGCGAAGACTTCCCGTGCGGAGGACCACCAGCCTCGTGGCGGAATGGCCACGACCAGGACCGGGGACAGGGGACACTGCTGCCGAGCCCTGTATTGTCCGTGTCACCAGCTGAAAAGGAACCCGGCAGTGCTGACATCGGCTGCACTGGGCCGGGGGAATTTCGCCTGCTTGAATGGGAGGGCTGCCTGTCAGGTCAGCCCACAGATCCATTCATTGAATGGACGCGCAAGGGCGTTCCGTACGAAGGAAGACAACTGTACACTGTCGGGGTCCTTTGACCAGAATTGTCCAACCCTGATTGGCGCGCAGGACATTTCATGGCGTCGCTGCTGGGTGGAATGTTCGAGAGCTCTTCATGCCTAACGTCAATTTCTGTCGTTGGCCGATGGCTCAGACGCCAGAGCATCTCGTTATAGGAGCTGCCAGAAAGGGCGCCCTAGTGAGTTGTGGGAGCTTACAGACATCCGCGAACGCCTCCTGGCGTCAGACGTGTGCCGACGCCTGATGGCATCAGAGGTGTGCCAGCAGCCGAGAATAAAACGTGACGTCAGACTTCTCGGGGGGTTGATCAATCGGTTGGACAGATGCTGTCGCAGCCGCAGGTCATGCTGCTGTGATCGTTGCTGGTCACGAGTGCACTCAGTCCAGGGCCTGAAAACTTAACTGAATAATCGACACGTCAGGCGCCACAGCCTCAGTTCTGAATGTCAGGAACACTGTGCCGCGGGCGGCGCCGCCGCTGCACAGGTTCACCGCTGCTGGCGGCGTTTTAGCCATCTGTCCTTCTTTTGGGCATCGGATGTCCTGACGTTTATTCAACGGGAACAGCGTTTTCCGCGCTGTCCAGAACGAGCTGTGCCCTCTATAAAAGTGGCCTAGACATCGGACCCAGGGTTCGATGTTGAGGGAGGGCTGCTGCTGTGATTGCCATCGACGTGTTCATCAGATCACAAAGACTCTATCACAATGACAGGACCTGGTTATGTCTCCACAGCGTGCATTTTCTCCAAGTGCGAAAATGTTCAATGTTCGCGCACTAAGAGGAAGCTTGCAGGTCTGTTGGCTGAGGAAGAACGAGCCATATATATATATATATTCACTTCTCATCCACCAATTCGCTTCTCCAGACTGGCCGGCTGCAGGTTTTTAGTTCAGGCAGGGGCTGGCATGCAAGGAAATGAACATGGAAATGGCCTTCAGGTGGTACCCTTGTGTCTGCTTGGCTGGCGAGGTGCATTCTTCTATTGCATTGTGCTATGTATCTGTAGTTGCGTGGCTTAATTGCGCTTGTGTATCTTCTTCGATGCCTATGTCGAATGTGACAGTCATTGCCCTTCAACCTAGCGCGTACGATGTCAGGATTTTATTTGCATCCTTGGGGGGAGACGGTGAGCAACAGCGCGTTGCCTTTAAAATTTGTCCCATAGGTACCATACTGCCCTCTCAGAGCAGATGACTCCAAGGCATGCGCCCCGAATGTGCTTGCGCTGTTCATGGTATCAAGGAGAGGGTATTATTCTTTCTTTTTCCAAAGCGGCATGACATACAAGAATAGTAATATTGGTTTCAAATTCATGTTGCATGCGCCATGTGAGCGGTTCATGATGGATTCTGATGCGGAGCACTGCACAACATATTCAGAAAGCACAACAATCTGAATTTGCACAACAAGCTTGGGCGCGTGGTAGAAGGTACTGGAAGCCCATGACCATGACCTTGTATTGTGAGATTGCTTGGATTTTGTGGTCTCGCGACAGAGGAGCTGCAGATGTACCAAGTTGTTGAGCAGTCTACTGGTAGAAACAGCGGGCAGTGGGACCCACTTTGGCGCTGTGATTTGTGTACCTGGCTTCCCGTCAACACATTGCCTTCGCACCACCCGAACAAAAAGAGATATAATCAGCACCAATGCATGTACATGGCATATTTCAGCATCAGTGCATGCATGTGACGTAGAGGAGCTGCTGGTGTACCAAGTTGTTGAGCAGTGTACTGGTAAAAACAGCGGGTAGTGGGATCCACTTCGGCACTGTGGTTGTATGCCTGGATTTCCATCAACACATTGCCTTCACACCACCTAAACAAAAAGAGATACAGTCAGCATCAATGCATGTACGTGACAAATTTCAGCATGAGTGCATATACGTGACATATTTCTGAGTCATTGAACGTACTTGTAAGACTAGTTAGTCCCATCGCCATTTGGCGTGCAGCTGTCCAGTCAGAAGCAGAGTTCATCTGGGATTTCTTGGTGCAGGCACTGTTTCGGTCTTGTGGCAGCGAGCAATGCAGAATTACGTGTTAGTCCATGATAGATGTTTTACTTGCTGACATGCCCAGCTGCCTTCCAAAAGATCAAAAGCACGCAATGGAAGCAAAGAACAGTAAGAGAATTGCAAAGATCGTGGCCTTGCCATGGCCAGACCTCTCCGGAGGGCAGAAGCGAAAAATCGACTTGAATTCAGTCGAGTGGGGTCGATTCCGAGCGACGAAACGGCCAAAAGCGCACAGGCCGGTCGTCGCACGCATGGCGCACATAGGACCTGAGTCCCTCCCTTGAAAGCGACACTCATTTGGCCTCGCAGGTCCTCTCCTGAGCTAGTGAGGAGGCCTGGCTGGCTGCAGTGGCCGTAACTAAAGTATGTTGCAGACCGAAAACAGCCTACATTGCCAGCTCGCTGGATTATATACAAGTTCATGAACATGAACGAACATTCGTTCACATCCCCACACACCGCGGAATATGCCCAAAATTAGTCCCTGCTATCCCTCTTGTAATGCCTCTTGTTATTCACATCAGAACTTTCCAGCACTTAAAGTACCATCACCGTACTGCCCCAATGGGCCGCCCAAATCCAACCAAATCTTCCACCTAGTGTCCAGTCGCGCCCCATGCTCCATAGTGTACACACTGTACACCGAATCTCATTATATTTTTCTATATGAAGTTCAGTCGAACCTTAGCGCTATCACATTGCCAACGCTGACGAGGAAGATACCGAATCCGTGTCACTCAAGGCACTACAGCCATGGTAGCGCGATCGTCGAAAATCTTGCAAGACAGGCGCAGATTAGCACAATATCTCATCATAAGCTAACCTATTTTCAAGGCTACGGTTGACAGCAACCTCCATTATTCCTAGAACACCTTAACTATTGCTCCTTTCCAACTACATAGGAACCCTCAACTCAGAATGTTCCAAAACACCATCGGAAACAAAGGTTGTTTCTTAGCGTCCACTTATCTCGTTCTTCTTAGAGCCCCAGAATCCTCAAAGCTTATCAAAAAAATACAAATTTAGTATTATTCAATTGCAAATTCAATTTGCAATTGACACGTGTCATCAGATCTATATAATGACCCTATCTAACCTATAATGAGACCCCTGGCCTGACTGCAGTCGAGCCCCCACGTGCCAGGCCGCGCCCAGTAGCCTAGCACACAGGGCGACACGACAGCTCCTAATCCTTGCCCGATACGCGCACGTATCGCAAATCCCCCGGGGCGCCCCGCTGAGTCAGCGCTCGGCGGTACAGGCGCCCCCCGCCATCGCACTCCCCGCACTCGCACCCCCTCCGGCAAACCGTCGGGTCAGCGTGTTCCCTCGAGGTGGGTTCCGCGAGCAAACCCCCACAACAGGGTTGGGGACAAGCCCCCCCTCCGTGGAGTTGCCCCCTCACTTTTCTCGGAAACGCCCTCCCCGTTCCGGAAACGCGCTCGGCCCTCCCCGTCCGTGGCCCATGCATCCATCTCCGGGGGCCGCTCTCCCTCAAACACCCCACAGTAAGTGTGCTGCAGGGGCAGAGTGAGAGCTCTTCTCCCTGCCTCCTGATCCCCCAGGGCCACCTCCGAACAATCCCCTTGGGATTGTCTTCGCTGCCATGCGGCTGCGACCGCCTCCGCGGAGCCCATGGCTTGCAATGGGCCGAACTGCCCGATCAATGGGCATTGCTCCGGTTTCTCGACACAAGGCCCTTCGCCAGGTGCCACTGGTCCATTTTGGTCGGTCGCTAGACATTCGCGTAGCGTTTCGGCCAGTCAGTGGGCAGGCGGGTGGCTGGCGTCGGGTGCGGGCCTCACGGGTCATGGTGCTTCCTGAGTGCTTCCCGCGCAGCGGGTGAATAGCTGGGCGGGATTACGTGGTAGTTGTCCCCTTGTTGGTGTGAGTCCAGGCCCTGACTGCCCCTGTGGGCTCCCTGTGGCCTCTTGGCAAGTTGCACGAGGGCTAACCCTCCGGCCTGTTTGCAAACCGTCGACAGAGGCCATGCCGGCCTGGGATCCTGGGCCTCACGGGGCACCAGCTTGGTAGTATTCGCGCAATATTTCATGTGGCATGGCAGCCATCCATTTGTTTAGATTGGCTCCATTTATTGGTGCCCAGAACAGAACTAGAATTCAGGTGTCAGTTCGGCAATCTTTTGTGGTATCGCCAGCTACAAATGTCACCTTGCTGTAAGGCTCCAAACTTACTCAGACTGCCAGTCAAGGAGGCATCCCCAGCATTTGCGAGTGTAACTGCAGGAGACATGTCCCTTTGCACTAAGAAAGAAGGGTCCTCTTCCTCATGGGCTTCAGCTACCGGTGTCTGATTGATTGAATTCCTTTCTGATACAGTGTTCCATTCGGCATACAGTGATTCATCGGGCGGCAGGGCAGCTGCGGAAAAACCAACTTCAGCTGCAACGAAGTGTGCCGAATGCCAATAACTTCTGTCGGGGTGAAAGCCGTCGTGGACGACAGCCCACGGTTGCAAAGTACAGTTCCCCGCATTCCTATGGCGAGAGTCGTCTCACGGCCAGCTCGCCCTCCGGCCCCCGCGCCCCCCATTTCCCCCGCGCCGTCGGCCAACCCCCACCCCGCGCGTGCGTCAGGGCGTCCACGCGATGGAGCAGGACTTCGAGGCGGACGACCCCGCCCTGGAGATCCCGATGGTGTTCTCGGAGCGCCTGCCCCGCAGGCTGCTGGAACGCCGCCTGGACGCGGGCCAGCGCCACGGGCCGCAGCGCGCGCGAGACAACCCGATCCGCTGTGCCGCCCCCAGTCCCACCACCCGCGGCGCCGTGCTCGGCCTGGAGCTGGGCGACGTCCTGCACTGGCCCCTGTCGGCCGCAAAGGCCAGGCGGGTGCGGCGCCTCGGCGGACATGCGGGCGTGGTGGCCGCCGCGCTGGTGCCAGGCGCGGACAGCGCGGCATGGGCGGGGCTAGTGCTCACGGGATCCGCGGACGCGTGCATCAAGGTGTGGGACTTGGGGGCGGTCGGGGAGGGGTCGTGCGTGCAGACGCTGCACGGCCACGGGGGGACTGTGACGACCCTGGCGGCGGTGGGCACGTGCGTGGTGAGCGGGAGCACGGACAGGAGCGTTCGGGTGTGGCGCGCGGCGCCGGGGAGGAAGTCGCTCATCTACCCGTGGTTCGAGCCGGAGGTGGGTGGCGGGGGGCCGGGCGGGAGGCGTGATGCTGCTCGCTGTTGCAGTCGTCGGAACGTGACGGCGCACGTGCGCACATGCCAGAAGAGGGACGCCGGGTGGGACCTGTCTGCGTTGGGCTCCGGGCGCACCGGTGCCCCTTCTTTCAACCGGGCGCTCCTGTGGGAGTGGGTGTTGCAGTGCAGCTGCAGATGGTCTGTAGATAAGGAATGTGCACTGCGTTGTCAACTCCATGGTCAGCTATGAATTCGACATCTTTGCAGTGGGGAATAGTGGATTTCAGAATATGGTTCTTGTCCAAGGGGTCCAGGCTCTCCCAGGACTTGTGTGTGAAATGTAAAGCTCCAACGAAAACCCCAAACAGAAGGAGCAGTCCGCAGTTGTGCCGATAGTGTGAAAAGCCATTGAATGGGTTGTTTTGAAAACAGAGGCAGCTGTTCATGGCATAAACAGGATCCTTCAGGCGTGTGCTAGTATTGGGGAGTATCAACGCAGAGACAGATGTAGCCTATGAGTGCTGCACAGAATCAAGAACCTCAAAGGATCCATTGTGACATTAGGTTTGCTTTCAACTCATTAAGACATGTTGCCAATTTTAAGGCTGACCTGCTTCATCATGGACGAAGCAGGTCCTTTCTGTGCAGATTGTCATACCCAAAGCCAAACACCATACAACAGTATGATAATGCGGTCATCAGAATGCGCCAAAACCACCTGGATTCAGACTGCAACGTCCCAGGCGTCAATCGCTGTCTGATAGCAGCTGTCCTTGCTTCAGGGCATCATTATGACGATGGAGGGCTGGGTTCATGACTTGTCATACATGTGCCCACAAACCATGGGCGACCTTGGAGTCTTGTATGCAGTGGACAATGCTGGAGCCATAGTGAAGATTGTCCCCAATGGACAAATTGACCCCAATACCAAAAGGTAGATCCCCGACTGGAGCCCACACTCGTTGCTTCATTGCCACCTGAAGTTATGCACAATCGTGTGCACCAGGGCTGGCATCCATGGCTGCACCACTAGTGTTGTCATTTGTGTCTTGTCAATTGCTTAGGCTGGGAAGCTGCCTGGAATGGAGCGTGGAGGGGCGAGTCAGCAGAGGGTCAGGCAGTCCTGCACTGGCATTCCGGAAACTGCATGACCGAGGCATCAGCTCAGTGCTGCATGCCCCCGACCACAGTTTCGTCTTCACCTTGGCGTATGACAACCACTTGAGGGTGTACGACAGTGCTGCTGGAACGCTAATTCACTCCTGGGAAAATGAAAATGGCTGCAACTTCACTGACATGTTGTATGATGGGGAGCGACTGCAGGTCAGGATCTTCTGCGTTGCAACAGACTTGCTTTTCTGCAATATGCGATCCAGAGCTGGCGATATTGGCTTCTACCCTGTGCTCCCTTTGTTGTCGTTGTTCTGCAGGCATGGTCGTTGTCTGCTCGTTCATTTCAGTGTGGCCGTGACCTGGGCCCTGTCACTGAGATCCAACTTTGGCATTTCGATTCAATGCGCCCTTGGCCAACAGTACAGAGAGCTGCTGAAACAGTCACTTGTGTTAGTGGGCATTTGTGGCGAGTAGTCCGATGTGGATGGGTGGCAGGCAAAGAGTAGATAATATACCTGGTTTGTATGTTGTGGCGTGCAGATAATTGTTGTTGACAGCTGTGGATATCTGGCCATATATTGTTTGAAGAAAGGGAGGATGCTTGTGAGCAAACGACTCACCAAGCATCCCATCGTGTCCATCTATCAACGAATGGAGTGCAAGGATATCATTGTGGTGACGACGAGTGAGATTCAAGCCTGGAGGATTGACAGGGATGTGGGCTACAACCTGCTCAGGGGAGGACACAGTGGCCCTGTTATTTCGCTGTACACATGCTCCGGAGGATTGGTATGTGTGGAGATTTGATGTGAGTGCTGGTTGATATACGTTTGCCAAACATGACAGACCCTTCCCCTTTAAGCTGGTGTGCAATGTCATGCTGTTCCCATTCATCAGTGCAGGTTCCACCATTAAAGACCGCTGAGAGCGATTGTGTGCGTTGAACATTTGTGTTTTGAGTCGCCAACTGACTATAGGGTGCTAGTTGGCAGCAGTGTGGGGGCACCCAGTGAGCTGCAATCGCTCCTCACTCATTTGTTATAGTTTATGACTGAATCTGCAAGGCACAAATACATAGAGGGTTGTACCTAAAGCTTAGACGAGTGAAAACAGTCTGCACTGCTTGTCAGTGTCACATTGCAAACAGTGAATATGCCCATTGTGCACAAAACTGATTTTTTGACATGTTTGTGAGATTGTGTTCTTTGGAGCCTTTTGTCAATTCCACCACATCTGCAGATAGAGCATCGCCATGTATGTGGGGAATTCAAGAGCATTTGCCAATTTCATTAGGGGATAGAGCACTGTGCAAGAGTCACATGTCAGGCAAATGTGAAATACTCTAAATGACAGGTTTTCCTGATACGTAGAGCCAGCACTGTGGCCAGCCAGGTGTGGCAAGTAATCAGAGGAGATTGCATCCCGCCATGTGTGTGCACTGTGGCTCCTCAGCAGTGGAAAACTGAAGAAGCATCATTACTGCACAATAATACCTCCCCGCGCCCACTAAATATATGCCTGTCCCTATACTTGCACATCATTGTTTTGCTTTTTTGCTCAGGCCACACCAAACGAAACAGATTTCCGTCTTTTCACGGCGTCTCTGGACAACACTGTAAGACTCTGGGACCCATATGACCTGCAGTGCCTGCGGGTGATTGAAGAAACAGAATCAGAACTGAGCGCCATGACATTCTGCGAAACTCTTAATCTGCTCATTACAGGTTTGAATTTTTCTGACTATGAAATGGCAGCCAGGAAGCTGTCTACTATGCGTCTGTTGTCACGGAAATGGCCGGAGCCAGCCCCTTGGTCTCCAGCAGCTGTCCAGGGACCTCTGTTGAAGGCTTCATCAATGCTTTTTCTCGTTGCCATTTGCACTGCTCTTCATCTTCTGTCACGTGGCACCATCACACGAATCAACATATCTATCAACCAGCTGTGCAGATCTGCTGGGGACAGCCGATGCTGAATCGCTTGAATGTCAGTTCTGATCCAAGTGCGTGCTTTGGCAACGTGGCATTGCCTGCATCTGTGCCTACATCAAGTTCTACTGAATGTGTGCTGGCCGTCGCTTAGGTCATGACGATGGATCCATTCGGCTGTGGAACATGGACACCAACACCTCTGTGGACCTGTTGCAGCATTCCAACAGCATTATGGCACTGCACATGGCGCAAGTAGGTGACAGTCTGATAAATACATTTCGACGTATACCCAATAAACACAGCGCTCACATTCTTGGGCAAACCCTTGTGTGTCACATTTGTCTACATCAGATGAAGGGGACCCTTCGCCGGCGACGGCAGGCATGTGCACACTTGAAATGTTTGTTTTCCGTCTTGTTTCATTCTCTCCTTTCCCCCGTCATCGCTCATTTGTGGATGCATAAAGGAGGTGGTCACAAATGGTGACTCGCAATGGTTTGTCTCGCCGTCGACGCCATGATGCACATGTCTCCACACACTGTGTTTGTGAATGTGTGTTCATTTAGCCTTTCTCCAAAATTGCACAGGTGGGGAAGCAAGACGAGCTCCTGTTGAGCTCGGGGTACGACGGACTCTTGTGTGTGTGGGATGTCAGAACGCTGCGGGGCACAAGGCCACACCTATTCGGTCGCTTCAAGACAGATGGGGCTGCCCATATCAATCGCAGTGGGCTGGGACCGCCTCGTTGTGAAATCCTTTGCTTGGAGTACGATCGGGTGAAGAGGGTGATTTTCACTGGCGGTAATGACTGCACCGTCAAGGTCAGGCTTTGTAATGTCATGGGAAGTATGAGGACTATCATGAGGGACTGGCATGAATGCGCTGCACCCCACATCGCGTCTTCCTCATAAATGCTATCAATCGGTCTGCAGAGAAACTTTTCTGAGTGCACTCCCCTCTTCGTTTGAGTTAAAATGGGCTTGAGCTCTGTGGATCAATCTGCATTCCTTGCTGACGGATGCTCCATCTTGTCGAATTCTAATGAACGGGCACATCCTTGAATTTCCTTTCCTGCCGCAGCCTCTTACAAGTAGTACTCACTGTCCTGGAGTAGCAGAGGCGAAGCAACTGCCAGATTCTCCAATGCTGTACAGGCAGCGGGGCATTCCTTGCTGTTGAAGCCATGCCGCTTACCAACAGTTTGATGCTAGGACTGTGGTTGTGCGAATGTGTTGTTATTTCTGCTGCTGCTGCTGCTGCTGCTAGTAGTAATGATTTTTCATTGGGTTTCGGCACAAGAGAGCGCACAAACATCCATCCAATGCTATGAGCCCTGCAAGTATGCGTGGACATATGCTTCCTCCTGACAATGTTCTGCACGGGCACACAGGTGTGGTCCTTCAACACCTACGACTTACTAGGCAGGCACTCGGGGCACCATGAACCAGTGACCTGCCTTGCCCTGGACGGCAACTTCCTCTTCTCGGGGTCTGAGGACACTTCTGTGCGCATCTGGGATGCCGTTCCCGCGCCTCCGCACGGCACCTCCTATGCCGCTTGTCCGTTCTCGGGCGGCACCCACCTCAAGAGCCTGTGCTGCCACACAGGAACGGTGACAGGCCTGGCGGTTTCGCAACTGTCTGGCCACCTCCTCTCTTGCGCGTCCGATGGCCTGGTGTTGTTTTGGGACTATGTGGCAGGGAAGGTTGTAAGGAAGATTGAGCACAGGGACGAGCTCAGCTGCATGGCGCTGAGGCCCGATGTCAGCGAGGTGCTGGTCGGGACGCGGAGCAACAATGTGCTCAGATTCCCTGCCGGGGAGGCGGTTCGGGTGAAGGGGAAGACGGGCAGGGAGGGGCACGCAAGATGATTTCTGGCTGTGGGATCCACGTCGAAATTTGGGGTTTGGTCGAGGTCTGTGGCGCATGTTTCGTGCAGGTGACAGTGCAATGTGTAAAGAATGCAACGGTGATCCATTGATGCAATGTTTTCAAGTTCAACGTCCGCAAGTGGTTGGTGGTTTGAGCAGCATTCGAATGTCTGGTGTTTCTGCACAACAGCGTTTGGTGCTGATTGACAGTTCTGGTGTCTTTCGGGTACTGCGCCGACGTCGAGAAGAGCGAATATTGACGGCTGTAGTGGCATCAACACCGAGTTGCTCTTGTAGCACCTGCGTCTTTTGGATGTACTGTGGATCGGGCAGGGAGCGGCGTATGAACGCAATGTGCAATGTACAATGGCAGTGTCTTGGCTCAAAGCAATGCCCTCGAAAAGGGAACATCATATCCCACACAGGTTTTGTTCTCTGGGCTTCGACACCTGTTGCTGGGGACTCCCTTATTTGCTTTACATCGTGAACATTCTGCCATTCTCAGTTCAGTATATTGTTGGACCTGTATTTGCACGCCACAAGCAGGCCTTTTAGTGCAACAGAAATCTGCACAGTTGCCGTGGACCGGCATGAGCACATGCGCAGAATCAATTGCTGGTATGGCGTTTTTGACTGCCACCGCATTTGAAGAGTGACGAGCGCGTGAGAATCGTTGGCATATCTTTGCTGTGCGCTCAACATTTTCTACACTTGCGACATCTACAGACAGAAGATGCTGCAGTCCACAGACGTATCTGATTCAGCATGTTTGTGTTGCCGCCGTGCCGAAGTACCCTATAAGTGCAGATGCCCAGATCCACGAATGGCTGATGCCCGAATGAAAACACGGGTGGACTGTGCACCAGTCGCCAATATCATTGGCGCGGCACACAAGTATTGGTTGGATATGCTAATATGCAGAGGTGGTTAGTGGAAGGGGCTCGCGATCCGGATGGCTCGCCCTGATTCTTGGGGATGGTGCCACTCATAGTTCTGATGACGTGAGGTTCACCTAAACAAATCTTGACCAAACAACGTTATACACATATGAAACACCTCGCTCGTGATTAGCTAGCTTACGGGAGGTGGCATCGCCTGCGCTCTTGGTCCCCCAGTCTGACTTCACCAAGGCCACAATACACGATGGCTCTGCCGTCATGGCTCCGCGGTTATAAGCCGGCCAGGACGCAGAATACATTTCGTTGGCAAATACGAGTGGAAGGGCGTGGTCGCTGCCACGATTCCATGCAGTGGAAGGGTGGATGGAAAACGCCGCCGCACAAACGACACGTGCGCAACTAGGAAATATGTGGCTAGCTCATACGTGGCACGTGGACAATGTTGCAACCAAACTGGTCCATGGTTCCGTCATCTCATGCAACAGGTTCCACTGGAGGATGCTTTGGATTACTCTCTGGGATTGTAGCCTCGGTTTCATCGGTGGTTATCAGCTATTCATCAACCAGCGCCAGTGACTTAAGGTCACCGTGCATCACGCAGCAATTGCGACTTCATAGTATGAAGTCAGAAATATTGTACCTGAATAAGTGCGCGCGTCATGTGAGTTGTCAGTGACAAGGTGGTAGATCGTTGGCGATTGCTCCAGAGAAACGGAGGTGCGAATGCAACACTGCAGGGCTTCTTGAAGATATCATCTGCGAATGTGCAGGCAAGGTGGTGCATAGGCCAGTTAAGTTCATTCTCTTGACACTGCGCTCAAAAGCTATAAATCAGCACCTCATCATGTGCAGATGTATGCAAAAGTGACCCGTGCAATTCAGCGAAATGCGAATCAGTCACGTGCCATCCTGACTGGGTACAGGTAGCACAACATCAGCATCAACGAGCCGAAAGAAATGGAGGCCGAGTGTTGTTGGCTATTTACCAACTGTTTGGTGGCTGCGTTTCATAAATAATCATCTGAAAATAAGAAAATCTCGCCCTGAAGTGTGAGGTTCTAGCCTCCACAGAACGTTCTCATTGTATGCTGGAATGCTGTAGCCAGGATACAGAGGGATTTGTGAGTCAGATGCCATTTGCAGTATACTGAATCAACGGAGCAATTGTGGATTTTTTTCAGGAAGAGCGTGGTGCAGGATGATAGGAATTTGCGTGGAATGACTGAGGGATTGTTGGAGCAAAGGCGACGCGTGTTCCATGGTACGAAGGCCCTAGATCAGTCGCTCCTTGTCTTCAATTGGGGCCGAAAATCTACGAATATTTCAACATACAGGCATTCACATTCCGCAAACCCTGGCGCTTTGTATCTTGGCGCAAGGTACCACATTAGGTACCACATTGGTTGTTGCATTTTCGTGGTTGTGAACGCAGTAATGGATACGATTGTGAAGTTCACGTAGTTTCGTTCCAGTTGGCACTGACGGCGGGATCCTAATACGCTACGGATTCAAAGAACTTTTATTGCGCGTTTGTGAATCAATTTTGAAGATGGGAAATCGTTGCCTTGTCAGCAGCCTGGAGAGAAAATATTCGGAATAAACTTACGCAGGGCACGCTACACATTTGAGTGCGCTTTTCTTCACTATTCTGGGTTATATGGATTGTTCGCGATCAATACGAAGAGTATGACGTTAAGTATTTGGGCACCTCACGCTCAGGATGTGCGAAGTAGTTCCTGCTTCTACGGAGAACATTTGAAGCCCCTTTTCTTCACCATTCTGGATTATATGGCTTAATCGTGATCAACATGAAGAATACGGCGTTAAGTACTTGGGTAACCCACATTCAGGATGTGCGAAGTAGCTTCTGCTTCTACGGAGAGCACAGGAAAACACTCTACTTTGCCCCACACGAATGCCAAATATGACGTAGACGGAATGGCCTGGGGCGATGGTTTTACATTGGACATTGGTTTCATGGGTGCTTTTCTTTTCAAGAGTACATACTGAGCTCCGTTGCCAAACAAATTTGCATGTTAAATGCTATTTCAATCAAGTTCCATAAATTAGAGAGTCCAACCAGAACATTGTTAAATTTCAAGCGCCCAGAACATCAGGGTGCATAAGCCACAAGTTCTGGATCAAATCAGATTCTGTTCACGAGGTATCTACTTAACGGAACCACAGTACCAGAAATGTGAAATTTGTGGAAATAATGTCCAGTTGTGTTAAATGGTACAGATAGGATCGTCTGGTAAATTCAAAAACAGCTGCAATTCCCCTTATCAAAGACTTTTTGCTTCGACTTGGATGTCACGCTTTCTCCCTTCCACCGAATTTGACTCCAGGCAATACATACTGTGAGTTTAAATCACGATTGCGACCATTCATTCCAGTCAACAGAAAAATGCAACATGCATGCAGTCTTCAAATTTCCCTGATCCACGCAGCAGCATGGCGGTCGTGCAGATCAACACACCCGGAGCACAAGAGAACGACAAAAACAGTCATTAAAGAAATTCAGCAACACGCCGCACGATCAGCGCCGATAAACGGTAACAAAAATGGTGACGTGTGCTTCCACTCAAGGTGCGCAATTCTTGACCTGAGGAATGGGTGAGGTGCGCTGGGGACATTCACCCCGCGGGAGGGGTCGATCAGCTCGCTCGTGGCGCCGCGCAGTCGTCGCCGGGCTGCTGATCTCCTCCTTTCTTCTCACTGAGGGGGGTATTCAGACGCCGGCCGACCCACCCGCTGCTCCACCTGCCAATGCTCCCTTCCCTTTCTTCTTCGATGTTGAGCCTCACGCGCCGTCTTCCGTCATCCCAAGGCTCCACCCTCCAAACGATGCAGGGATTGCCCTGCTGGGCCCCATCATCCTCAAGCCCCTTCCGCTCGCCATACGCTTCAATCTCCAGCTTACGGCCGCCATGTACTCCTGCTGGGCCGCCTGCCACCCCACCGCGCTCAGCTTCTTCGGCTACACCTCCGACGCCCCCAGCGACATGTGCGCGGACGACCGCAGCCGAGCGGACATGGCCGTCCACGCCATTATGCGGGCACTGGAGCGCGAGTGGCCCACGTCTGCGGGTGCGTACGCCGCATTCGCCAAGACGAAGGGGTTCCACCCCTGGGGGCTTTCGACGAACCTCAACGGAAGCTCTGGCTTCGGAAATTCGGTGGGGACGCAGCTCGCGGATTTCTTCGCTCAGGACGGGTGGAATTCGCTCGGCGACGCGACGACCAGCCGCCTGCGGCGTCCGTTCAAGGACACGACGGGCTACACGCCGGAGAACATGCCCCTGGACGGAGTCAGGCCGCTCCGGTGGGAACCCGAGGTGACGACCGACGGCGAAGGCTCCTTCGCCGCCCAAGTGCACGCGGTGCCGTTTCTGGACAACGCCGGCGCCATGGTCTTGTCCGCGACCGACATGGGGTCCCGAATCACCCCGGATCCGTACGAAAATATCAACAGGTACCTGTCGTACAGCAGCACAGACAGCGTGCACGTGGGGGACCTGTTCGACGCGCTGTTCGCGTCGGCTTCGCTCAATCCCGACAAACGCTTTCTCGCCCGCTGGTGGGACAACAAATGGCTGTCACTGCCTGCGTTCCCTGCCGTTTACGGGGAGGCTCTCGGCTGGGGAGACAATGAGGCCATAATCTGGGCCATGGGAGAGGCGCTGGCGCTGCATGACGCCGTGGTCGTCGCTTGGCGCGAGAAGCTCCGAGTTGACGCAGCCCGCCCCTCGTCCATGGCCAAGTACCTCCCGTTCAGGGACATGTGGACAGTGGCCTACGGGGTGCCGGAGGGCGCTTGGGTGAATATGACGTACGGGGAGTGGGAGCCCCTGCTACCCAACCCTCCCTATTCCGAGTACCCCTCCGCCTCTGCGTGCATATGCCGCGCCTTCGCCGATCACGCCGACCTGCGCCTGAGGAACTTCAACGACAATCTGACGGTTCCTTTCCATCACGACTTTGCGGAAGGCGCCTTCGCGGGACTGTTCACCATGGAGGGCAACGCCAGTGTGTCCTTCCTCACGCCCCACGTGGCGGGCGAAAGCTGCAGGGATTCCCGCCTTTGGGGTGGCGTGAATTTTCCTCCCGCACTCGACGAAGGTTGGGGATTGTGCCAAGGCATCGGCCAGGCCGCGTTCGACCACGTGGAGGCGCTTCTGCAAGGCATCGCCCCTTTAAACTGTGGGGCTTGTGGGTGGTAAACAGGTCACACCCGAGTCACGAATGGATCACGTGACTTCCAACGTTGGTGTGTGCCTATTCTGGACGACTGGCATTGCCAGGGTGGCATACCAGGGGGAAGGATCCCGGTGACGCCACGATGATGCATCCCCTAGTGAAATGGGCCATGTTGCTCAGCGCACCGGGAGGTGTCGAGAGTAGTGGGATCCCTGCCTACTGGCGAGCGGAAGAGCTTCTGAGTTCGACTCGTCACGGCATGTCTTATCAGGGTGTCAGGGACTTATGCGTGCCATCTCATTGCGGTCAGGCCCCATTGGCAATAGTGTAAATCCAAAGCTCAACTTTGGATTTCGGTGCTGCTTTCAGAGTGCGCTCTCCAACCCCACGATCAGTTCTTTCCCAATTATGGTGGGAAGGGTTCTCCATGGGCGTCTGACCCCCGACGTCACTAATGGAGTACTAAGCACTAAACATCGTGCCTGTTCATGACAGTTGATTGATCCTGTGCGCTAGCCGCTGGCATGAAAGACATGGCCACATGCCGCTGATGCAGCCCTTTGCATACTGCACTTTTTCCATCCAACCGTCGCGCATGGAGCACAGCGTTGCAATGGGGTGTGTGAATAACGGATATCAGCAAAACCTGCGGATGCATCCGCATTTGATTGGCGCCCAGCTTGCTCATCACCAATTGGCCAACATACAGCCGGGCGCTGCACAACCGGCACCCAATGGTTTTCAGGGATGGCTTAAGAGCTGCAGGCATGCCACAGGCAATCCGGGGGCACAATGCCCGCTTGGCAGGCATCGAGGCCAAGGCAATCCGGGGGCACAATGCCCGCTTGGTAGGCATCGAGGCCAAGAACGCGTGCGAACATTGGCACACTTCTCAACCAAAGACGCGCTGTTTTACAGAACTGCACCTGAAACTCTCCTCAGGTATAGAACAACCCACACATGCATATTTCGACAAGGTACCAGAAGGCCCACAAGGCCCCGTGTAACCCCAACCGCACTCTCGATCTTCACACGCATCCCCGATCGACGGGCTAAGAACATCAGACATACGAGCAGCCAATCGTGCCACGCTGGCCGAACAGCCAGAAAGAATATTAATGGGAACATGAAATAAGGCTTCACAGCAGTTGGCAACAATGAAAAGACTCCCGCTTGCGCCGAAGATGATCCCTGGCTAAAAGCTACTACCGTTTCAAACTTTTCTCCTCTTGCACATGGATGCTGAACTTTCCTTGCTGCAAGGAACCGCAAATTGAATGCATACATTAGAAACAAACTGCACGCTCAAATAAAAGATGCTTAGCAGAGGGCCACCGTTGGCTTACGGTGCCCTCATCGTGTTCGTTTGTCACACAATCCACATCCCTGCCCTGGTTCTGCCCCCAACATCACTGCTGCGTCTGCTTAGCCCTCTTCTTGTTGTCAAAGAAGCCCAAGGCAGCCGAATCCGATGGCACAAAGTCCTCCACTCTCTGTGGGTTGTCCCGTGTGTTTGCACCTGCCCCAGCCACGATCCTCAGCGGCTCTACGCTCGTCAGGGAATTGTGTGCGGCCCAGCACACGTTGTCCACTAGCGCTTCCACGCCACGTGCTTGATCGCCCTGGCCCATCTCAGTGACGTCCAGGAGCCTCTCTGTCGCAGCCTCCCATGTCAGGTTCCTCTGGTCTTCTTCTGATAGCGGCACTGGGTTCTGACTCAGCGCCTTCTCCACTTGCTGGGAGAATTCCTCAGGGTTGCGATAGATCAGGCAGTTGGGGAACCGTGAGAAGAACTTGTTCGCGGGGTGGTCAGCGCACACAACAAACTTGCCCATGGCCAACGCCTCAGCCGTGGTTGTTGCCACCACATCGCTCAGGCTAGGATTGACAAACACCTTATAATCCTGCAGCACTGGGTCGGCATGGTCCCTGCCTTGATGGAACATCACGTCCAGGTGGTTCTGCTCCGCATGCTCCATCACAGCCTGCACATCTATGCCACTGCCAAACACGTCCACATGCAAATTCTTGCCCCTCCTCTGGCTGTGGCTGGCAAGGAGGTCCAGGAGCTCAGTGTAGCCCTTGCCCCACACCATCTTGCCAAGGAAATACATGCCTTTGGGGAAGACGGACGCCCCAGGGTCAGTCGCTGCCAGGGCCTGCTGGGCCTTGTTCTTGCCAACTTTGATGAAGGCAGGAGATACACCGTGAACGAACATGGTCTTTTCGCGCAGCAGAGGCTGCACTGCATCGGACAGCTTCACAACCTGGTCGCAGTGGATCCTGGTCACCCACTGGTTGACCCTGTGCAAGATTCTCGCCTTCACCTCACCGTTCTCCTCACGGCGAGCATAATCAATGTAGTTCGTGTGCATGATGCCAACAACATGGTTGAATTTCCTGTTCCATCGTTGACCATGATGGTACCAGTTCAGATGCTCAGGCTCCTCCAAGATGGCCACATCAGCCTGCAGGCACCCAAATTCATGACCATAAGGATTAGAATCAACACCAATATCTACAGCTTGTGCAGCTCTCAAAGTGCTGACGTGCACTGCGGCCTATATGAGTGCTACAGCTTGGACATTCGCCAGGATAGCCTGGTGAGCAAATAACCTGCTGGTTGGTGAGCAGATGGAGGATATATGACAAACAGCTCGCCATCGAGATGACTATAACACACACCTCTTTATCAGGGACGTAGCTTGTCACGTCTCCAACAGGCAACACACTCCCCTTCTCTTGGGCATATCGTCCTGGGTAGAATGTGATCTTGAAATTCCCATCAAGACCCTGCAACAAACCATTTTTACAACTGCATTCAAGCAAGCATAATTATCTGAACTTCATACCATGGAGACAAGTATCATTCTGCATCCATCCGTTCAGTTGGGAACATCGCCTGCAAAACTGACAGGTCCTGCACAATCGCAGCTTGACTTTCAGAATTTACCGGCATGTGGAAAGCCTGGCTGTGCTTGGACAATACACCCAGCCTCCAATCAAGTACATGCAACGACTTCTCAAGTCACTCTCAGACACAGTCCTTGCACGTTAGAAACAAACTGCATACCGTGCGCTTCTTGGTCCAGTTCCTGATGTACGTTTCTTGATCCTCCGGTGACTCGAATAGCTTGTCTCTTGGGAAGACCTTGGCTTGGTCTGATTTGGACAGCCAAGGCACCACAAGCGTCACCTGTATGGATGCCCAAGCCAACATCAACTCCCTGACGTTGACTGACCAAGCTCCCCGTGAACCTTCAAACCCACTTACAGATGTTCCATGTCACGACCAGCACAAAGACCACTTGGGATTCGTCGCCAGATCTGTTGAGCTCGTGCCCGCTGCTCAAACAGTAAAGGCCTGCCTCTCTTTTCGAGAAAGGAGCGGAGACAAAGGGCTGACGCGGGCATTCCATCCACTCCATCGCACCCCACCTTGCGGGTCGAGTCCCGGGCCAAGTACGCGGCTCGCAGCAGCGGATTAACGGCAGTGCCGGTGAGCCAGGGCAGCGACGCCGTCGTCACAATGGCCACTCTGCGCCCCGGTTCACGCAGGCTGGAGGCACCGCTGCGCTTGCGCTGTCGAACCTGCCACACACCGCGAGCACACCCAATGAGTCACCCTGACATTGCCAATCCACCAATCGGCATGCCACCGTCAGTTCGACACGCCCATCGACACGCTGCTGGCCACCACAAGCCACCGGCCCACACACACCCCAGTCCAAATCCCAATCCCGGACATCGACCCTTCGAATGCCCATGCCCCCAGATCCCTCCCTCCCCACCTGCTGCTGCGGCTGCGCCTCGATCTCCCTCAGCACGGCCTCCTCCGCCCCCGCCTCCATCCGCAGGTTCCTCCTCAGGCCGCTCCTCAGCGCCGCGAAGTCCTGCTGCGCCGCCCGCTCCCTCAACCTGTCGCCGGTCCTGCTCGCCGCCTGCTGCACCCGCTCCCATGGAAAACTCTGCTGCAGCACGTCCCCCAGCTGCTGGAATCCCGTCTGAAAACCGGCATTGCGGACGCCGGCGTTCCTGCGCAGCTTCTGGCCCACGTTCTGCTGTAGCGCCTCGCCCCAGGACGCCGACAGCCTGGACGACGCGGCCTCCAGCTGGCGTTGGGCGCTCTCCAAGGCAGGGTGGGACATCAGGTTGCTGCCCAGGCTGCGCAGGTTGTTCTGGCAGTTGGAGGCGGTCAGCTGGATGGCCTCGTGGCAGCGCCGCACCGCAATGCGCGACGAGTCCACCAGCCCCGCCCCGTCGCCCTCGCCGCGACCGCGCCTGAGATTGTCCCCAATCTCGCCCGCCCCCAACGAGGCGGCCTTCGCGTCCAGGCTCTCACTTCGCCGCCGGGGCCAGCCCGCTCGCAATCCGCCGCGGTTCTCCTTACCCTCCCGCATGCTCAACCGTGGAACGCAAAAATACCAGGGATGTACCGTCACGGTTCCGAATCCCGTGCACGATGCGTTGCAACGGTTTTCGACAGCCGCCTTGGTAGAATCAGCACCACGGCAGTGGCCCCTTGGCGCCCCTGCGCTCTTTGGCGCGCCGCTGGCGCGTGCCGCGGCCGGGGTCGCCCTCCCGAGATACTGCCCCCCGGAGATACTCTGCGCCCTTGAAACCCATCCACGGACCCAAGGGCGCCAATGTGGCAGGCATGTGGCGCGATCGACACCCACGAATCGACAACTCGGCGCGGCTTTCGGAAAGAGTCCAAATCTTGCCGGGAATGATACGCCTGTTGCGACCGGGTTAGAGGTTCGACAGACGATTAGTCACATAACAACACGAGTCACAGTTGTTCGGAGCCTGTTCAGTCCACCACAAAATGACCAGCATTTACTGGCCACTTTTGCTTTCAAGGTGACTGATTATGCATAATCAAGGCGATTACCCACTGCTGGGATGGCCCGAGTATGCCACCAGTGATAGATAAATAAGTGCGTTTCTGGGGAATTTATACATCGTTGAAAAGCCATATTTTGGGTATGCCGAGACCATGTTTTGGGTGTGCCGGCGCCACGCCCATGGTATGAGTAAACAACATCAGAAAGGGGACATCGTCTAGGACATTCATCCTACAGACATTCTTGAGGATTCCAGTCACCCAGACCGACATTGTCATTTTCGATCAGCCATACATCAGATACGCAAGGGTCTGTCATTAAGCTCGTACAAGGCTGCCGTCCAGTTTCGAGCATCATTGGGCCTTGTACCTTGGGCATGTTGTTTTCCTGCTACGGTTGGTGATCGCTCTCACTGAGGCCTGCCTTGTCGCCGCGACAATCTGGGTGTTTCCGGGAAACTACTAGGAGGCCATGACGAACGCAACGATCTGTCTATTGGCGTTCCGACAAACTGCGATCGCTGCATGGCCACAAGCTGGCAGCGCCTTGCTGCGAGGGGGACACGGCACTGGAAGCAATACCAAGGATCCCGAGGCTGACAAGGTGATCGACAGGAACCTGGCTGTACATCGTTCCAAAGCTGAGAGGAATCTTTGTGTCCAACGAGGGGAGCCAATCAAGACGGACAGGGAGGGATGGGTGCGGCTGGGATCTTGGGAAGTGACAACGAGGATGAACTGATGGCATGACAGCACGACATCCCACTTTGAGGGCTGGAACGCAGGACTTGTGGCATGCCGCCGGCATGGCACAAGTATGGCCTGGGCATGCCACAAGGATGATCCTGGTACCTGATTGTGACTGATTTGGGACTGAAGTGACTTGGTAATTGTCTTTAATATGTTCTGCCTGAATGACAGCACGGACAAAGGGACGGACTAGGACGATGTTACAGTACAGGTCCGCGGCATGTCGCGACCTGGGATACTATAAAACCGGTCTGTCCACCCCAGGGGACAAAATCGAAGTAGGACAAGTCCTGGGGGTTGTAAGACCTAGATTCGTTCGGCTGCTGGTGTATCTCCCATCTCTGCCCGGCCCTGGAGCACGCTTTTCACCTGTTGCGACTATGAGGAGGTGTGTGACTGCGTGGCGTTGTTTGTCGGGCAGCGGCTGACTGAGAGGGGGGGATCATTG